GAAAGAAAGAAAAAAAAAAAAAGCCTGCTTAGGGCTGGGCATGGCAGCTCATGCCTGTAATCCCGGCACTTTGGGAGGCTTACGCAGACGGATTACTTGAGGCCAGGAGTTTGAGACCAGCCTGGCCAACATAGCGAAACCCCATCTCTGCTAAAACAAAACAAAATCAGCTGGGCGTGGTGGCACGTACTTGTAATCCCAGCTACCCAGGAGGATGAGGCAGGAAAATCACTTAAACCTTGGAGGGGGAGGTTGCAGTGAGCCAAGATCATGCCACTGTGCTCCAGCCTGCGCAACAGAGCGAGACTCCATCTCAAAAAAACAAAAACAAAAGCCTACTTAGGCCAGGCATGGTGGCTCATGCCTGTAATCCCAGCACTTTAGGAGGCTGAGGCGGGCATATAACCTGAGATCAGGCATTTGAGACCAGCTTGGCCAACATGATAAAACCCTGTCACTACTAAAAATACAAAAATTAGCTGGGAATAGTGGTGCATGCCTGTAATCCAAGCTACTTGGGAGGCTGAGGTAGGAGAATCACTTGAACCCAGAAATCAGAGCTTGCAGTGAGGCGAGACCGCACCATTGTACTCCAGCCTGGATGACAAGAGTAAATAAAACTCCATCTCAAAAACAAACCAACCAACCAAACTGTTTGATAAATTCCTCATTTCCTATTATGTGTTCATATAATTTATTTTTTTGAGACAAGATGATATGGTTTGACTCTACGTCCCCACCCAGATCTCATCTTATAGCTCCCATAATTCCCATGTTTTCGGGGAGGGATAGGACATGGTGGGAGATAATTGAATCATGGGGGCAGTTTCTCCCATACTGTTCTCCTGATAGTAAGTGGGTCTCACAAGATCTGATGATTTTAAAAAAAGTTTCCCTGCACAAGCTCTCTTTTTGCCTGCTGCTTCCATGTAAGATGTGATGTTTTTCTCCTTGCCTTCTGCCATGATTGTGAGGCCTCCCCAGCCATGAAATCTAACTGTAAGCCATTACACCTCTTTTTCTTCCCAGTCTGGGGTATGTCTTTATCAGCAGCATGAAAATGGACTATACATCCATTTTATAGTCCACTCTGTGGACTTGCTCTGTCACCCAGGCTGGAGTACAGTGGCATGATCACAGCTCACTGCAGCCTTAAACTCCTGGGCTCAAGCAATCCTCTTATCTCAGCCTCCCAAGTAGCTGGGACTACAGACATGTGTCACTACATCCAGCTAATTATTTTTTTGTGCAGATGGGTTCTCACTATGTTGTTCGGGGCAATATCAAACTCCTGTGCTCAAGTGATTCTCCAGCCTCAGCCTCCCAGAGTGTTAGGATTACAGGTGTGAGCCACTGTGCCTGGCTTCATGTACTTTAGAGATACAGAAAGGCAAAGTCTGGGATCCAACATATAAGCACCCTTTCATCTTCCCACCAACTCACAGATCTGATCTTCATCTATCCCGTCTACTCTTTCATATCAAGAGAAATGAGAAAGTAGCTCTCTTCCAGTCTAAGACCAACATACCTGTATACTAAGTCCCATGCCTTCAAACCCTCTCAGAAACCTTACTTATATTTGATTTGCCTGCGAGTTTTATCTTTGCTTTGAGATTTAAGTATATATTAAGTCTATTGACCTAAAGCAACTAAACTCTGATTCCACTTCTCCCACTAGCTTTCACCTTTTGTCCCTCTTAAGAGTCAAACTCTGAAATGACCTCCTTTTCTTATTTCCATTTCCTACCTTCCATTCATTCCTCACTCTGTTTCACACTGCCTCCACCATCCCACTAAAACTATGTCACTCATCCATACATTTAACTGCCTACGCAATGTGTCCAGTTAACATCCAAAGCCAAACCCCATGTCAAAAACCAAATGCAAAATCTTTCCTTACAATCTGTTCCTCCTCCAGCATTCTTTTTTCTTTTCAGACAGAGTCTTGCTCTGTTGCCCAGGCTGGAGTGCAGTGGTGTTATCTTAGCTCACTACAACCTCCATCTCCCAGGCTCCAGTGATTCTCGTGCCTCAGCCTGCTGATTAGCTTGGATTACAGGTGTGCACCATCACAGCCGGCTAATTTTCTATACTTTTTAGTAGAAACAAGGTTTCCCCATGTTGGCCAGGCTGGTCTCGAACTCCTGGCCTCAAATGACCTGCCTGCCTTGGCCTCCCAAAGAGATTACAGGCGTGAGCCCAGCCACAGCGTTCTTTTGTACAAAGCTTAACTGAGATATAATTCATATATGATAATGCACACATTTGAAACGTACAGTTTGATACATTTTGACAAATATATTCCACACTACAGAGGCAACATCCTTTTGTGTCCTCCCAGGTGTCTTGGGAATGAGGTTTTTCCAGTTTGGTGGAAGTAGGCACTATTATTGGCCCAGTGGTGCCAGGCACTGTTCCTTCCAATCCTTTCATTCGGTTCTGTCTTCGTCATCCAGTAGCTCCCTCACATGAATGTGGTGATCAGTCCTCAGCTAACTACTCCAGGAGGACTCTCTGTGGATCCTTCTTCTTTCTCTGTGCCACCCTCTCCTCTCCGGTACTCTGCTGTCCTGTGAACTCTAGCTGCGTTGGCCTCTCCACACTCTTAGCTGTTTCAACTCAGGAAGCCCACCAACCTCTGCCTGGATCCCTCTCCCTGCACCAGAGCCTGGAAATTCTTTCAAAGCAGTAAACTAGGGCAGTCACAAAGTTCACCTCTTTTATATCCTTTCTCTTTGGTGATCACTGTCCTTTGTTGTCTGATGTCCAGCATCCTGAAAATCATTATTTCATATAGTTTGTCATTTAAAAAAATTGTTTCAGGTAAGGTGAATCTAGTCTCTGACACACCAAGTTGACCAAAAGCAGAGGTCCCTCCATTGTTCGTTGCATGCCACTGACTTATATGCTCAAGAGAAATCTAGGAGTCATCCCTGTCACCTTTCTGCCCTCTCCCACAGCTAGTCCATCAAGACTTATTCTCTGTCCTGGCTAGGCGTGGTGGTTCATGCCTGTAATCCCAGCACTTTGGGAGGACGAGATGAGAAGTGTTTGAGGCCAGGAGTTCAAGATCAGCCTGGGCAACACAGCCAGACCCCATCTCTAAAAAAAAATTTTTTTAAGTTAAAAAAAAAAACTTATTCTTGTCCTAAATCATTCTCAAATTGACTACTTATCTCATGTCGACTACCAGTACCCTAGTTGTAGGCAGCAGTCTTAGCTATTCCAATGACTTCCTACTTTGTCTCCCTAGTTCCTCGCTTGCCTTCCTGCAAACCATTTTCTACACAATCAGAAACTGAATATTGTTTGCTTAAAGGCTTTGAGTGACTTCCCAGTGCTCTCAGTATAATATCCAAAACACTTAAAAATCCTGAGAAATCTCACATGATCCAACCTTTGTCTATCTCACCAGTCACTGTTTGAATTCCAGTCATATTAGTCTTAACTTTCAGTTCTTCAAAGGTACTGTGTGCCTTCCCACTACCAGACTTTGCTGTTCCCTTATGAAAGCTCATCTCCCTTCTTTCCACTCAGTTAACTCCTACTCATTCGTCATTACTAAATATCTTTTTCTCAGGAGACCCATTCCCGCCCTCTTAAGCTTTGTCCCACATTGTACTTAGAACAATGTCTCATCAAATAATTATTTGGGTAGGGCCTTATCTAGTAGAATGTTAGCTTTATGACAGGAGGAACCATGTCTGTCTTATTTACTGCTAAGTCCTTGCTGCCTAGCATAGTACTCTGAAGTTACACAATAAATATTAACTGTATGAATTAGAAATAGTAGGCCTGGCCGGGCGCAGTGGCTCACACCTGTAATCCCAGCACTTTGGGAGGCTGAGGCAGGCAGATCCCCTGAGGTCAGGAGTTTGAGACCAGCCTGGCCAACATGGTGAAACCCCGTCCATACTAAAAAAAAAAAATTGCTGGGCATGGTAGCGGGCACCTATAATCCCAGCTATTTGGGAGGCCGAGGCAGGAGAATTGCTTGAAACCAGAAGACGGTTTGAAACCAGTGAGCCGAGATCATGCCATCCAGCCTGGGAGACCGAGCAAGACTCTGTCTCAAAAGGGGGAGGAAAAAACAAAACAAAACAAAAAACTAGGCCTTAAAATAGAATTGTAATGTTTTAAGTTCCTTAGAGGTCTTCTATTTCAACAACTTCATTTTTTCAGCTCAGGAAACTGATGACCAAGGTCACAAAGCTAAATTTCTCATAAAGGTGATACTATGCAATAATATTTTAAATTTACTGGTTGCTTGCTAGCTGTCAAACACCAAACTAGGTAGTTTTTGATTGCGGTGAAATTCACATTTTTAAAGTATACAATTCAGTAGCATTTAGTGCATTCACAATGTTGTGCAACCACCACTTATAACAAGTTCCAAAACATTTTCACCATCCTCCAAAAAATCCCAAATCCGTGAAGCAGTCACTCCCTATTCCACACTTTCTCTAGGCCCTGGGAACCACTAATCTGCTTTTTCATGTCTTCTGAATCTATATACCCTATATATTTCATATAAATGAAATCATATATTATGTGTCCCTTTGGGTTTAACTGCCTTAATATAGTATAGTATTTTCAAGATTCATTTATATGTTGTAGCATCAGTACTTAATTCATTTGAATGGCTGAATAATATTCCATTGTATACCACATTTTGTTTATTCATTTATCTGTTGATGGACCCTTCGGTTGTTTCCACCTTTTGGCTCTTGTGAATGGTACTGATGTGAACATTTGTGTAGAAGCAGTTGTTTGAGTACCTGTCTTCAATGCTTTGGGTATTCCTAGCAGTAGAATTGCTGGGTCATATGGTAATTCTACCTTTTAACCTTTTGAAGAAATACTGAACAGTTTCCCACAAGGGCTATACCATTTTACATTGCTACCAGCAAAGTAATGAGAGTGGTAATTTCACCATATCCTTGCCAATACCTGTTATTTTCTGTTTGTTTGTTTTTGTAGCCACCCTAAAGGGTATAAAGTGGTATTACACTGTGGTTTTGATTTGGATTTCCCTAACGACTACTGATGTTGAGCATCTTTGCATGTGTTTGTTAGCCATTTGTATTCCTTCTTTGGAGCAATGTCTATTCAAGTCCTTTGCTCATTTCTTAATTGAGCTGCCTTTTTATTGTTGAGTTCTAAGATTTCTTTATTTATTCTGGTAGACCCTTATCAGAAATATAATTTGCAAAATTTTTCTCCCATTCTGTCTTTTTGCTTTATTGATAATGTCCTTGGACACACAAAAGTTTTTACTTTTAATGAAGTTCAACATACCTGTGTTTTCTTTTGTTGTTTGTGTTTTTGGTGTCATATCTAAACATTCCAGTTACATATCTGAACATCTAAATTCACGGTCACTTACTTATCAAGAACCTCTCAGCTTTTTTTTTTTTTTTGGCCTTGTTTCAGACAGTCTTGCTCTGTCACCCAGGCTGGAGTGCAGTAATGAAATCTTGGCTCACTGCAACCTCCATCTCTGAGGCTCAAGTGAGTCTCCCACCTCAGCCCCCTACCCTGCAAGTAGCCGGGATTATAAGTGCACATCGCTACAGCCGGCTAACTTTTGTATTTTTTGCAGAGATGGGGTTTCACCATGCTGCCCAGGATGGTCTCAAACTCCTGAGCTCAAGCGATCCTTCCACGTTGGCCTTCCAAAGGGCTAGGATTACAGTCGTGAGCCACTGCACCTACCCAGGAGCCTCTTAGCTTTTACTGGCTCTTTGCTTTTTTATAAGTTTAATAAAATTTTGGGAGATTGTAAATGGAATTATATTAAATCCACAATGTTTTTGGGAGAAATTTAAATCATTAAAATACTGAGCTTTCTAATCTACTTATAGTATTTATTCATATTCACTTATTTGGTGTTTTACAAAGGCTCTCCATGAAGTGTTATTATTTAACTATAGAGGTCTTATATACATCATTCTGTAGATGTATTTCCAGTACTTCATCTTTATTATTGTCTGACATCTTAGGTGGTATTTTTAATTTCTTTTTATCAATTTGTCTTGTATATAGAATTTAGTTGGTCTATTTATTTTATTTCCAGAAACCTAGCTCAATTCTTTTTGATTCCAGTTACATATCTGAACATTACAATTGGAAATGAATAAAGTTCATGATCATCTTGTAAGAAAATAAAAATAAAAATCCATGGCCAAATCTAAAATCATGAAGATTCATGCTAAGTATTTTATAATAATCATCCAATTTAATTCTCTCAACAACTCATTGAGAGGTATTATTATTATGCTGATTTCACAGAAAAGGAAAATGAAGCCCAGAGAGAGGTTATTTATCAAGTCAGTAAGTAGAACAGATCTACTTCCAATAACCAGGATCTTTTAAAATCCAGGCCAGTTTTCTTTATACTTACAATATGGCAATTTGCTTTTCTGGGGGATAAAGGGGAGAACAGAAGACATGGTCTTTTGGTAACTTAATCTCAGAAGTGGCCTTCCACTTCTACTTTTGCTATCATTAGGTCCAGCCCACACTCAAGAGAAAATTAAAGGGCACGCTAGTAGCAGGGATCATTGGGGACCATTTTAGAGGGTGCCTACCACACCACAGTTCTATATTTAATGTTACACATCCTTCTGGCTTCTCTTATCTATGGCTTTAACTAAAACCTATGGATCAAGGATCCAAATTCCCTGTGATCTAGTATCTATTCAATTGTCTTAGATATTTATTTCCACCTAGGTAGCCTACAGATACACTTATAACTGAACTCCCTAATCTTTCTTTTCAAAGGTCTTCTTCTTCCTACATATACCTAAGCTAGAAACCTAAGAATTGTTCTTCGTTCCTCATTCTTGCTGCCCAGGACTTCCCAACCCCAATATATCCAATCAGTCAGTAAGACTTTCCATTCTTCTTCCAGGATTTATAGAACCCATCCTTCAATTCTCCAATTCTACTTCTGCTGTCTTAGTTCAAGGGCTTACCATTTTAGACAGCTTACTAAGGAATCTAACTCATCTCCCTGTTGCTATTTTCATTCCTCACCAATCTACCTTCTATCATGTTGGTAAAATGACCTAAGACTGTAAATATGATCAGATGTCTACTGTGCTTAAAATTTCTCATATGCTACTTATAAGAATAACAACAGTTAGTAGTTTCTAAGCACTTATTAAGATCCAGACAGTGTACTAGGAGTTTTATAAATAAGACTATATCAAATCATCAAAATAATACTCTAAGGCAACAAATCTCAAACTGTGGTGAGGGAACAGCTGCAGATCCTGCACTCTACATACCTCTTTTTGGGGTCCACTAGGTCAAAACTTTATTTTTTTCTTGAGACAGAGTCTCACTCTGTCACCCACACTGGAGTACAGTAGGGCATGATCTTGGTTTACTACAACCTGTGCCTCCCAGGTTCAAGCAATTCTCCTGCCTGAGCCTCCTGAGTAGCTGGGATTACAGGCGCCCACCACCAGGACCAGCTAATTTTTATATTTTTAGTAGAGATGGGGTTTTACCACATTGGTAAGACTGATCTTGAACTCCTGACCTCAAGTAACCTGCCCAGCTGGGCCTCCCAAAGTGCTGGGATTACAGGTGTGAGCTACCATGCCAGGACAGGTCAAAACTATTTGTATAATACTAACATGTTCTTTTCACTCATTCTCTCACAAGTGTACAGTGAAGTTTTCTAGAGCCTAAAATATAACATATTTTAAAATAGAAGTGGTTTTCCAAAAATTTTCAAATCACGATGGTAATGTTTAATACATTTTTAAACCTTAAAAAGTTTCAAGAATACTACAATGAATACTCATATATGCTTCACCTGTTCACCAACTGTTAACATTTATCAGACACTTGCTTATGTCTCTACTTATAAGTTTTGTTGTTTTATTCCTGAACTGTTCAACAGCTAGCTGCAGACACCATGATACTTCATCCCTAAATACTTCAGCATTATCTCCTTAGAATAAGATATTCTCCTAAGAACAAGGTATTCTCTTACATATCTACAATATAATTAACAAACTAAAAAAACTTAATACAATTATCTGATTTTCAATCCATAATAAAATTTTTCCGATTTGAACAGAAGTTTTAAATTTTACTATAGTTCAGTTTAGCAATATAATCCTTTTTGGTTAATGCCACTCCTGTTTTTTTTTTTTTTGTTTGTTTTTTTTAATTTGTCACAGGAACAAGATCTTATCTCCTGCTCTTTTAATTTGGGCTATAATAATGTCAAAGCTGTAGCCTCTCAGAAATAAAATACTAAATTACTAGTGTGAATTCTTTTCTTCCTCAACCTCTTCTCTTCCATAGGAGTATGAGAATATTGTTAATGGTTACATGGTAAACAAAAATTCCAGTGGAGAAAGTGAAGGTGTGTTTGAGACCAGCCTGACCAACATAGTGAAACCCCATCTCTACTAAAAATACAAAAATCAGCCAGTGTGGTGGTAAACACCTGTAATCCCAGCTACTCAGGAGACTGAGGCAGGAGAATCGCTTGAACCTGGGAAGTGGAGGTTGCAGTGAGCTGAGACTGACTGCACTCCAGCCTGGGCAATAGAGTGAGACTCCATCTCCAGAGAAAAAAGAAAGTGAAGGTGTGTTTTCCTCTTTTCCTTAACTGACTGGTTTTTTATTTGATTTATAAGTTTTCCGACAACCTTGTTGAGATACATTTTTAAATGTATTACCATCGTGATTTGAAAATTTTTAGAAAACCATCTTCCTGGACAAACCAAAGCATTTTTAATTATTTGCTGACTAACTTAGGCACTATGTGATAAAAGAACTTGCAATAATGACTTCACTATTCAGTTGATGCATTAAAATATCTTAGAATTGGAAAGGAACAAATAAGGAAAATTTTAGTCTTACATTAGTCATTAAAACTTGCCTCACTTAATTATTAAATCAACAGATGACATCTTTTTGTACATACATGAAAATCATTATGGCTAGTGGTATAAGAAATACAGAGTAAGGCCAGGCATGGTGGCTCATGCCTGTTTTCCAAGCACTTTAAGAGGCCGAGGCAGGCGGATCACCTGAGGTCAGGAGTTCAAGACCAGTCTGGCCAACATGGTGAAACTCCATCTCTACTAAAAATACCAAAATTAGCTGGGCATGGTGGCTGGTAACTGTAATCCCAGCTACTCGGGAGACTGAGGCAGGAGAATTGCTTGAACCTGGGAGATGGAGGTTGCAGTAAGCCGAGATTGCACCACTGCACTCCAGCCTGAGCGACAGAGCAAGACTCGGTTTCCAAAAAAAAATATAAAAAGATATATATAGAATGAATCAGTAATACAGAATAGAAACAGCAGATCTAAGCAATGGAGAATTGCTGAATAGAGAAAAGTTGTTTGGGTGAGGTTGGGGAAACCTCTGGGAATTATACCAGAGCCACCGATTTCAGTTGGGCTATAATGATTTAGATCAATGCTGTGCTTACAGAACTTACAATGTGACTCCAAGTGGAAAATCTACCCTGTATAGCTTATTTTTAGAAACAGCTGTGCCTACTACATAGGCTTTTTTGGGGGGAAGAATGGTTTTAAGCTTTTTTTTTTTTTTTTCTTGAGACAGGATCTCCCTATATGTTGCCTAGGCTGGACTCAAACTCCTGGGCTCAAGTGATCCTCCCACCTCAGCATCCAGAGTAGCTGAGACTACAGGTGCCCACCACTACACCTGGCTTGAACCTTTTTTTTTTGGAGACAGAGTCTCACTCTGTTGCCCAGGCTGGAGTGCAGTGGTGCGATCTCAGCTAACTATAACCTCTACCTTACGGGTTCAAGCAATTCTCCTGTCTCAGCCTCCCAAATAGCCGGGACTACAGGTGCATGCCACCATGCCTGGCTAATTTTTGTATTTTTAGTAGAGATGGGGTTTCACCATATTGGTCAGGCTGGTCTCGAACTCTTGACCTTAGGTGATCCACCCACCTTGGCATCCCAAAGTGTTGGGATTATAGGTGCAAGCCATCACTCCTGGCAGAAACTGTTTTAAAGATTCAAATTTCAACAAATAAAAAGTTGGGGGAAAAAGCTCTTTGGTTCATTAAAACATACCATTAAGAAAATAAAAAGAGAAGCTACAAAGTAGAGTATTTGCAATTTATGTAACTGACAAAGGTGCACATCCAGAATATATAAACAATACTTACCATTCAGTTTTATGCATTCACAAGGAGATGAAAAAAAAAGAAAAAAGAAAACAATACTTACAAATTGTTTTTTTTTACAGACTGATAATCCAGGCCAGGTGCAGTGGCTCATCCCTGTAATCCCAGCACTTTGGGAGGCTGAGGCAGGCGGATCACCTGAGGTCATGAGTTCAAGACCAGCCTGGCCAACATAGTGAAACCCCATCTCTACTAAAAATACAAAAATTAGCCGCACATGGTGGCATGCATCTGTAATCCCAGCTACTTGGGGTTGAGGCAGAAGAATCACTTGAACCAGGGAGGCAGAGGTTGCAGTGAGCTGACATTGTGCCATTGCACCCCAGCCTGAGCGACAAGAGTGAAACTTTTATCTCAAAAAAAAAAAGAATGATAATCCAGTTTTTAAAGATGGGTGATGGGTAAGAGATGCAAATAAGAACTTCACAAAATATGTTATCCAAATGGCCAATAAACATATGAAAAGCTGCTCAACCTCATTAGCTATTAAAGAAATACAAATTAAAACCACATTAAGATACCATTTACTAGAATGGCTAGAAGTTAAAAGACTGAGAAGATACCTGTTGGTAGGGATTTGGAGCAACTGAAATTCCTGATAGGCTTATAAATTGATATAACCACTTTGGTAAACTATTAATATTTGGAAGTACCTAGTAAAGCTAAATATACACATACCCCTACAATCTAGCAATTCCATTTCCTAGTTATATATCCAATGAAAATGCATGTACCAAAAGAAAGACATATATCAAAAATACCAACAGTATTTATTTGTAATAGCCAAAAGCTGGAAATAGTCCAAATGTCCATCATTAGTAGAATGAGGAAATAAATTGTGGTAACTTCTTACAATGAAATACCATATAGCAATGGGAAACAACCAAAATGATATGGCTGATGTCATAATTTAAACGCTGATCAAAAGTCAGACACAAAAGAGGATGTGATTTGTTATTCCATTTATATAAAGTTCAAAGATAAGCAAAATTATTCTATGATAGTATAAGTCACAGTAACGCTTATCTTTGAAAGGAAGGGGCAAGTAGGGACTAGAAGGAGCACAAAGGACATTTTGTATTTATCACTTCGGCTGAAGTACAATGGTGTGATCTTGGCTCACTGCAACCTTGACTGACCAAGTTCAGGTGATCCTCCCACCTCAGCCTCCCAAGTAGCTAAAACTACAGGTGTGCACTAGCAGGCCTAGCTAATTTTTGTATGTTTTGTAGAGACCACATTTTGCCACATTGCCCAGGGCTGGTCTGGAACTCCTGAGCTCAAGTGATCCACTAGTCTCAGCCTCCCAAAATGCTGGGATTACAGGCATGAGCCACAGCATGAGGTGCAACGTTCTATATCTTGATCTGTTTGGTGCAGTGGTTACAGAGGAGTATTAATTTTATGAAAATTCATTGAACTTCACATTAAAATTTGTACACTTTTCTTTATATACATTATACTTCCATGTTAAACCTTATTAAAGAACAAAAAATGATGGGACAGAATTTTTTTTTTTTTTTGAGACGGAGTTTCGCTCTTGTTTACCCAGGCTGGAGTGCAATGGCGTGATCTCGGCTCACCGCAACCTCCGCCTCCTGGGTTCAGGCAATTCTCCTGCCTCAGCCTCCTGAGTAGCTGGGATTACAGGGACGCGCCACCGTGCCCAGCTAATTTTTTGTATTTTTAGTAGAGACGGGGTTTCACCATGCTGACCAGTATGGTCTCGATTTCTTGACCTCGTGATCCACCCACCTCGGCCTCCCAAAGTGCTGGGATTACAGGCATGAGCCACCGCGCCCGGCCGGGACAGAATATTTTTAAATTCTGAATCAGAATTCTCATTTTAGCGCCTTCCCCTTTTTTTTCAATTGATTGATTGATTGATTGATTGAGAGAAGGTCTCATTCTTGTCATCCAGTCTGGAACACAGTGGCATGATCATAGCTCACTGCAGTCTCAAACTCTTGGGCTCAGGTGATCTTCTCACTTCAGCCTCCCCAGTAGTTGGGACTACAGGAATTCTCAGCTTGCCCAACTCTCTTTCTCTCTATAACCAAAAATTCTACCTATCAGATTAAACTCTCCTCTCAAAGGACTTCTTTACCATTATCCAACCATTTGGTCTTAAATGTGTCCTCCTATAATAGAGTCAATCAAATATAACAACTACACCAAAGAAAACAAATCATTCCTTCCATTTTATTGTATATATTTTTTTGGTTATACCAAACTGAAAGTAAAAGCAAAGCGCCAACCTTTTAGTTTAGACTTAACATTTAGAGATACTTCTCTTATACATATGCCAAAGTCATCATTTCTCTAGATTTCCTATGACAAAGTACTTTGTGATCATTTACAAATTCCCATGCATTATCTCTACCCTTCCAGATCACATTACCAACACAAACCAGTGGAAAGAACCAGAAAAAAATAAACAGGTACTACATTTGAAATACAAAAAACACTCCTTATTTTGTTGAAATTTCTAGAACATCAATAACTAAAAACAAACGAAAACAGAAAAATGCCAATTTATTTCCTCACAGGCAGAAACAGTCATTCTTAAACCCAAAGCCTGGAAAGAATTTGAACTCCTATGAACACTTTTGTAATCACTCAGTTCTTATCACCTCTTTGTTCTACTAAAACTATTTTTGAAGCCAAAAACAAAACAAAACAAAACAAATATCCAGGGCCATTTCAACTCTCAAATAGCTGCAGTTCTATGTAAGACTGACAGACATTCCAAATGGTTCTTGCTCCTACTTAGTAGGATACTTTGCTCCTATTGAGTAGGCTACGGTATAATTCCCAGAGTTAATACTAAGAGTTCAGTTCTCCAACTACTGTGAAGATAGCCTGAAAACATAAAGTAACATCTTGGCCAACATTTGCTTAAGAAAATATGCTTCTCTGGCCAACTAAATAATCTCTTATCCATGACCCAACAGCCTACCATTTATTTTTCCCCCAATTACTACTTCTGCAAGGATGTCCTAAGTATGGGAAATGAGGTATCATTAACTTTCAACTTGCTATTTATCACTTGCATAAACTGATCAATTGTTGTTAATGGATCTACTCATTTTTATTTAGAAACAATTCACAGAAGAGCTCAAAACTTTAACTGCCTAGAAAATTTGGAGATTCAAGTAAAATTCTGTTTCTAAAATGGCATACTTTTCCTTATTTTTTTAAGTAGCATTTTTCCTATTCAACAGACTAGAATGTGTTTATTGTTGATAATATGGAAAATTCAGAAAAATTTAAAAACCACTCAAGATAGCCATTAAAACATACTGGTGGGGCGGGCGCGGTGGCTCACGCCTATAAACCCAGCACTTTGGGAGGCTGAGGCGGGTGGATCACAAGGTCAAGAGATCAAGACCATCCTGGTGAACAAGGTGAAACCCCGTCTCTACTAAAAATACAAAAATTAGCTGGCCATGGTGGTGCGTGCCTGTAGTCCCAGCTACTCAGGAGGCTGAGGCAGGAGAATTGCTTGAACCCAGGAGGCAGAGGTTGTGGTGAGTTGAGATCGTGCCATTGCATTCCAGTCTCGGTAACGACAGCGAAACTCCGTCTCAAAAAAACAAAAAACAAAAACAAAAATAGACAAATGGGACCTAATGAAACTCCACAGCTTCTGCACGGCAAAAGAAACAGTCACTAGAGTGGATCGGCAACCAACAGAATGGGAAAAAATTTTTGCAGTTTACCCATCTGACAAAGGGCTGATATCCAGAATTTACAAAGAACTCAAACGGATTTACAGGAAAAAAACAAACAAGCCCATTCAAAAGTGGGCAAAGGATATGAACAGACACTTTACGAAAGAAGACATATATGAAAAAATGCTCATCGTCACTGGTCATCAGAGAGATGCAAATCAAAACCACATTGAGATACCATCTCACACCAGTTAGAATGGCGATCATTAAAAAATCTGGAGACAACAGATGCTGGAGAGGATGTGGAGAAAAAGGAACACTTTTACACTGTTGGTGGGAGTGTAAATTAGTTCAACCATTGTGGAAGACAGTGTGGCGATTCCTCAAGGCCTTAGAAATAGAAATTCCATTTGACCCAGCAATCCCATTACTGGGTATATATCCAAAAGACTATAAATCGTTCTACTATAAGGACACATGTACACGAATGTTCATTGCAGCACTGTTTACAATAGCAAAGACCTGGAATCAACCAAAATGCCCATTGATAATAGACTGGATTGGAAAAATGTGGCACATATACACCATGGAATATTATGCAGCAATCAGAAATGATGAGTTTGTGTCGTTTGTAGGGAAATGGATGAATCTGGAGAACGTCATCCTCAGCAAACTGACACAAGAACAAAAAATGAAACACCGCATATTCTCACTCATAGGCGGGTGATGAAAAATGAGAACACATGGACACAGAAAGGGGAGTACTAAACACTGGGGTCTATTGGGGGGAAAAGGGGAGGGCCAGTGGGAGGGGGAGGTGGGGAGGGATAGCCTGGGGAGAAATGCCAAATGTGGGTGAAGGGAAGAAGGAAAGAAAAGCACACTGCCATGTGTGTTCCTACGCAACTGTCTTGCATGCTCTGCTCATGTACCCCAAAACCTAAAATCCAATAAAAAATTAAAAAAAAAAAAACAAAAAACAAAAAACAAAACAAGAAAAACATACTGGTGTATTTCCTTCCAGATATTTGTCTATGTCCATGCACTCAAAAGAAAAAAAACATCTGCTGTAAAATTTTATGTGCTGTTATTTTGTCACTTGCTATTATCCTTAGATATAATGAGTACTTTTCTGTCATGAAATGCCCTTTAATGCTTGCTTTTTTTTTTTGTTTTTTTTAAAGAGACATAGTCTTACTCTGCCACCCAGGCTGGAGTACAGTGGCACAATCTCGGCAGCTCACTGCAAGCTCCACCTCCTGGGTTCAAGTGATTCTCCTGCTTCAACCTCCAGAATAGCTGGGATTACAGGCATCAGCCACTACACATGACTAATTTTTGTATTTTTAGTAGAGATGGGGTTTCACCCGATTGGCCAGGCTGATCTTGAACTCCTGATCTCCAGTGATCCGCCTGCCTCCGCTTCCTGAAGTGCTGGGATTATAGGCATGAGCCACCATGCCCAGCACCTTTAATGCTTTTTAATGACTACATTGTGTCCTACTGTCTGGGTAACACTATAATTCACCTGGTATTTCCCAAAGGCTGGACTTTGTTTTACTATGTACTTTTTTTATTTTTTATCTTTTGAGACAGAGTCTCACTCTGTCTCCTAGGCTAGAGTGCAGTTGCATGATCTCAGCTCACTGCAACCTCTACCTCCTGGGTTTAAGAGACTCTCATGCCTCAGCCTTCCCACTAGCTGGGACCATAGGCATGTGCCACCACACCCAGTTAATTTTTATATTTTTAGTAGAGACAGGGTTTCACCATGTTGGCCAGGGTGGTCTCAAACTCCTGACCTCAGGTGATCCACCCGCCTTAGCCTCCCAAAGTGCTGGGATTACTACATGAGCCACTGTGTCTGGCCCATTTTCTTGTTTATCATACTTTCTGCAGAATTATATGGAATCCTACTTTAAAACCAACACCACCCAAATTAATTTATACTCTGCCTGCTCTCCTCTCCCCTCCCCCTACAAAAAAAAAAAAAAGAGAATAAAACACCACAGCATTTTATGGTAAAATCCTCTTTGTGTGTAAAGCCATTTTAGAGGCAATGTTGGGTTTATGCAATAACTTGAGTAATGGATAAAAGATATGAATGTTTACAAGCCTTAAAGGTAATTTGAGGATTTGTATATCCTAATTTGTTAACCAAGAGAAAAATGAGAAATAATGGCATGATTTATTTCCCATTACCATAAAACATTTTTAACAATAAAATACTTAAGTCTAAATTGACAATTTCTAATTATGAAGAATAACCATGATCCCTTCAAAGTGGAGTTTCTATATTTTATGCTGTAACATGCATAAAAAAAGAAAACAAGGATAAGGCTCAATTGGTATTTGAGATATGCAGATTTCAACACAGTCTTTAGGGTGCTTTTGAATCAAGTTCCCTGGCTTTTTCAGGTTAAAATAATTTAAATTTATACTTTCTTGAACTTCCAGCCCTTGTCAACCGATAGGATCAGGAAACATGAAAAAAGAGTTCACCTTCACAATAGAAGAAATGAACATTAAAACAAGACATTAATATTTTCCCTATCAAGTTGGCAATGATTTTTTAAATTATAATACTTGTTATTAGCAAGGATATGGGGTGCAAAGTACCTTTTTGGAAGACACTTTGGCACTCTGTTTCCCTCTCAATCACTAATCTCCAGTGGCATGTAAACTGCAGTCATAACACCAAGCAGGAGTTATCCCAGTGCTGATATAATCCACTGTCACTTACTTAAAACATGAGCAACAGCAAATATTTTGGACCAATTCCTGTTACTTCAGATTTAAACTCCTGAAACTTTTTTACAGTTAACAAAAAACTGGATATCTACGTATGCAAGGACCATAATAACTTCCTAAATGTATAGGAAAGTCCAGGAAAAGTTCATAGGTAGGTACCTGAATAAAAAAGCACTCCTGTGAAAGAAAACTATACAAAAGTCAGTCATTCTACTTAGCCTAATGACCAGCCAAAAAAAATAGGGACTTCACAAATCAATTTCTGAAGTTGTGAATATCCTATTACCCTAAAACATTTTTAAAAATAAAATACTGAAGGGTAAGTTTTCATATTTATCATACTTTCTGCAGAATTATATGGAATCCTACTTTCTCCTATTGATCTCTTTGAGATCAAATAACTCACCATTCACTATCTAAAACATTATCTGTTGCCTAGGTAATATCACTGAACTAGACATCTTATTAACAACACTAACCTCTACAAATGATATTTACTTATGTCTAAGAAAATAAAGATGCCTGCCTACACAGGAGCATGTAAAAGATTTATGTGATTTTTGTTGTTGTTAAGCAGGCATCTAGGCTCCTTCTGACTTCCCTGTCATTAATTAGGCTAAAACATAATGTTAAGCTCTAATTTCAGCTAATCCCGTAATATCCCCATCCAGACATTTGCCTACTCTTGAAAATTCCAAATCTGAAAAATCTATTGTCAATGTACTTCCTCCCATTCTCACTGCCACCATCCATTCAAGCTCTCAATCCTTCATCATGGATTCCCATTGTAACTTTCTGCCTCCAGTCTCTACTATCCTACTCTATCCTATGCACCAATGCCTCCTAAAGGTGTGTATCTTTCCTATTCAAAAATCTTTAGTGGTAGAACTTTTAATGACACAGAAAAATGCTTAAGACAGAATAAAAAATTTTAAAGCACAAGTTAAAACTACACACACACACGATAATCTCAATTACATTAAAAAAGCATTTCTGGCCTGGCACTGTGGCTCACACCTGTAGTCCCAGCTACTTGGGAAGCCGAGGTGGGGGGATGGCTTGTGCCCAAGAGGCAGAGGTTGCAATGAGCCAAGATCGCACCACTGCACTCCAGCCTGGGTGACAGAGGGTGACCCTGTCTTTATTTTAAAAAAAAAAAAAAGGCATTTCTGTGTACATGGTACATGAGTGGTAAGGCTATGGTTTGTGGTAATTTTCTTTTTTTTTTTTTTTTTTTACTTTCTTCTTTATTTTTACAATAAAAAAAATTGTAGTAAAATCTCTTCTAGTAAAGTGTCTTCCTAAACCATCTCTAATGCACACAGTTAATATGATAGCATTAAGATACTTTTTAAAGAATATTTCACATGCTCCCTACTGCCACTGAGTATAACTTCTTGTCCCCTGTAGTTCAAGAGCCTCCTCAGTCTGGTCCCTCTATCTTCTTCCTAGTCTTAGTTATTATGAGCCCTAATATAACCTGGGGTCTAGATTCAACCATTCACACTGTTCCTTGAGCATAGCTGTTGCTTTCAAACCCTTAATATTCACTCCCCCTAGAATATACTCTCTTTTCATTTCTACCCATCTCTGTGTTCTTTAAGGGTTTCTTTCCTTCCTTCCTTCCTTTTTTCTTTTGAGACAGAGTCTTGTTCTGTCACCCAGGCTGGAGTACAGTGGCGCAATCTCGGCAACCTCCACCTCCTGGGTTGAAACAATTCTCCTGCCTCAGGCTCCCAAGTAACTGGGATTACAGGTGCCTGCTACCACGCCTGGCTAATGTCTGTATTTTTAGTAGAGGTGGGGTTTCACCATGTTGGCCAGGCTGGTCTCGAACACCTGGCCTCAGTGATCACGCATCTCGGCCTTCCAAAGTGCTGGGATTACAGGCGTGAGCCACCACACCTTGCCAAGTTTATTTTCAATGTTCCAGAAATTGCAAATATTACCACACTCATTTCCCCTTTCCATAACAGACATCAGTAGTTGCCTTCTCCTCTGAATCTAGGCTCCTTCTCAAAATCCTTCTCAATTCAATGGTCCTAGGCAGGCCTTACTAATTAATTCCTGTTGACATAGAAAATGAAACTTATCTGCCATTCCTGTAGCAATCTTGATGCAATTGCCCTCTTCTCCCCCATCCATATAGTTCTTTGTACTCTTATAGAGCTTTTCTCCTCTATATATTTTTAAGAATCATTAACTTAATTGTCTTATCTTCCTTTCTTACTACATTTTAACCTACACATGGGCAGTAATTATCTTCCTATCCCCTACATAGCCTTGTATGAAGTTGCTGAACAGAACACTTCATTCTTTGGCTATTATCATTTAAAATGGCTAAATATTTGAAAGCTTTATTTTAAAACAAATTTTTCTTGAAGGAATAATTAGTTCAAGTAGTTTCATTAATTTTAGCTAACATTCCTGTTTAATGTAACAGAGTAGTGCCTGATATCACATGAAAACCAACCAAGTCCAAGAATACAAGATAAACCACTAGCAAAGGAAATAATTGAGATAAGAGAACTTAACCCATTTTTAGGATCTTGTATGCAGATATAAAAGCTACTGAATTAACCACATTTTTGGAACTTTTTTCTACTAAGTGGGAGAATCACTTGAACTGGAGGCAGAGGTTACAATAAGCCAAGGTTGCACCACTGTACTCCAGCCTGGGCAACAGAGTGAAGCCCTGTCTCCAAAAAAAAAAAGACAAAGAGATTAAAAATAAAAAAAGCTAAAAATAAAAATCAACAAGGGATCAACAAAGTCAGGCAAGTAGTCTTGTAAAAATCACAAGAAGTTTTTATGTAGATTAAAAATCCAGTTCAAGAGATGTGGGTAGTCTTTCTGTTAGTAGTACAGAAAGACTCATGCTGCCATCTAGAGGTTAAAGGCTAGATAATGTTTCTCCTCAGTCAAGGGCTATTAATTTAACTCTATGAGAGGTAGAACTTAACAGGCCTAATAACAGAAGCCAGACAAATAATTCTGATGTCAGCTCCCCCGGCACACACACACACAAAATACCCAGGGGCAGGGCATGGTGGCTCACACCTATAATCCCAGTGCTTTGGGAGGCCAAGGCAGGAGGACTGCTTGAGCCCAAGTGGATGAGGTCAGCCTAGGCAACATAGGAGACCCCACTTCTACAAAATAAAAAATAAATCAGTCAGGCATGGTGGCACTCTCCTGTGGTTCCAACTCCTTCAGAGGCTGAGATGGGAGAATTGCTAGAACCTGGGAGGTCAAGGTTGCAGTAAGCTATGACTGCACCACTGCACTCTAGCCTGGGCAACAGACACCCTTGTCTCCAAAAAAAAAAGGTGTAAGAATCACAGTTATACTCTCCCTTCCCTGCTCTATATATTAAAATTACAAATCAAAAGAGCTAACTGTTTAGAATTTTATCTAGATGAGAAACAAATTCTAAATGTAAATGGTCACTTTTTTCAAAATCACGTGCCCAGAGGGTAGAGAAGTCTAGTATACCACAGGCTAGTGCTGTGGAAACTTCTGCTTTTTGAAAGCAGTTTTTCTTGGTTATCACAATCAAAGAAAGTACCAAATAGTAAAGCTGTACAGACAACTTCAGCAATGTAGAATAATGGGATAGAGTATTAAATTTTCAATGGGGACATCTTAATGTTTTTCTTTTCTCTCTCTCTCTCTTTTTTTTTGAGAGGTGTCTCGATCTGTCGCCCAGGCTGGAGTGCAGTGTGTACAACCTTGGCTCACTGCAACCTCTGCCTCCTGGGTTCAAGCGATTCTCCTGCCTCAGCCTCCTGAGTATCTGGGACTACAGCCATATGCCCGGCTAATTTTTGTATTTGGTAGACACAAGGTTTCACCATAATAGCCAGGCTAGTCCCAAACTCCTAACCTCAGATGATCCGCCTGCCTCAGCCTCCCAAAGTGCTAGGATTACAAGCTTGAGTCATCACACCAGCCTTAATCTTTTTATTCAGAGATGGGGTCTTGTTTTTGTTGCCCAGGCTGGTTCCAAACTCTTGGCTTCAAAAAATCATCCCCCCTTGGCATCCCTCTCAATCTTTTTACAATGAAATATTGCTTTTAAAAAACAACAGTGATTAAATTCAGCCAAATGACAGTCCCAATAAACTGCTACATGAACATGTAGAATTATATGATTAATCAGCAGAAGCAACTACTTATATCGAAGTAGGCTAAATTCCTCAAAGCTTTTTTAGAGGGTAATATATTTGGTGTCACCTTATTTACATTAAAGTACATCTACAAAAAACCCACAGCTAACACTTTACTTAACCCTTTCTCCCAAAGATCAGGAAAAGTCAAGGATGTCCACTCCTGCCACATCTATTCAACACTGTACTGGAATTTCTAGCAGGCCAATTAGGCAAAAGAATTAATTTAAAGGCAATCAGAATGGAAATGAAGAAGTAAAGCTATCTCTATTCACAAATGACAATTCTGTATATAGAAAATTATAAATAATCTATTAAAACATTATTATTACTAAGAAACAAGTTCACAAAGTTGCAGGATACAAGATCAATATACAAAAATAAATTCTATTTCTCAATAGTAGCAATGAGCAAACTGAAAATGAAATTAAGAAAACAATTCCATTTATAATAGCATCAAAACAAATAAAGTACTTAGGAATAAATTTAATAAATAAAGTATAATATTTATACTTTGAATACCACAAAACATTGTTGATGTTCGAAGGTCACATATCCCAATTTTCAAACTTACTACACAAAGCTACAGTAAGCAAGAAAGTGAATTACTGGCAAAAGGATAGAGATGTAAATCAATGGAATATAACTGAGAGTCTAGAAGTAAACCTTCACATTTATGGCCAACTCATTGTTTTGTTTTGAGGCAGGGTCTTGCTCTGTAGCCCAGGCTGGAGTGCAGTGGTGTGATCATGGTTCACTGAAGCCTTGACCTCCCAGGCTCAGCCTCCTGAGTAGGTGAGACTATGGGTGCGCAGCACCACATCTGGCTAATTTTTATTTTTATTTTTGTAGCGATGGAGTCTCACTTTGTTGCCCAGGCTGGTCTCAAACTCCTGGGTTCCAGCAATTCTCCCACCTTGGTCTCCCAAAGTGCTGGGATTACAGGTGTGAGCTACCATGCCCGGCTGCCAACTGATTTTTGACAAGGATATCAAGACAATTCAATAGAAAAAGGATAGTCTTTTCAACAAATGATGCTAAGAAAACTGGTTATCCACATGCAAAAGAATGAATTTATCCATTTTCATGCTACTAAGACATACCTGGAAAAAAGAAAGAAAGAAAGAAAAAAGAATGAATTTAGATCCCTATCTCACACCAAGTATAAAAATTAACTTAAAATGAGTCAAAGATCTAAATCTAAGAGATAAAACTATAAAACTCTTAAAAGAAAACACAAGCATAAATTTCTGAGACCCTGGATTAGGCAATGGTTTCTCAGGCAGGACACTAAAACACAAGCAACAACAAAATAGATAAATGGGATTTCATCAAAATTTAAAGCTTTGTGATTCAAAGGACACCATTAAGAAAGTAAAAAACCCAAAGAATGGTAGAAAACGTTGCAAATCATATATCTGGTAAGTGACCTGTTTCTAGAATATATAATGAACTCTTACAATCCAATATTAAAAACACAAACAATCCAATTTACAAATAAGCAAAGGATCTGAATTGATAGTTCTCCAAAGAAAATACACAACTGGTCAATAAGCACATGAAAACACGCTCAACACCATTATTATTAGACAAATGCAAATTCAAACCACAATGAGACACTTCTTCACACCATCTATGATGGACATGATAATAATTTTTAAAAAATAAATAAATAACGAATATTGGCAAGGGTGTGAGAAAACTGGAATCCTTACACACTGCTTGTGGGAATGTAAGGTTCAGCCAGTTTAGAAAATAGTCTGACAGTTCCTCAAAAGATCAGACATAAAGTTACCACATGATCCAGAAATTCCACCTCTAGTTATAAACCTAAGAAAATGAAAACATGTTTATACAGAAATTTGTTTCAGTTGAACCCGAGTGTTCACAGTAGCATTATTTATAGTAGCCAAGTAGTAAAAGCAACTCAAATGCCCCCATCACCAGGTAGATAAATACAATATGGAGTATCTATAGAATGGAATATTATTCAGCCATAAAAAGAAATAAAGCACTGATAACATGTTATAACATAATTGAACACAGAAAACATTATCTTAAAAGAAAGAATCCAGTCACAAGAAACCACTTATTATATGATTTCATTTATATAAAATGTCCACACTAGGCAAATTCATAGAAACATCAAGTCAGTAAATAACAGCCTGGGTCTGGGGAGTTTGGGAAGTAATGGGGAGTGACTGTTAACAGGTACTAGGTTTTTCAGGTGATGAAAAATGTTTTAAAATTGGTCGTGGTGGTGACTGCAAACACAAACACCATCAAATTGCATACTATAAATGGGTGAATTATAGACTATGTGAATTACATTTCAATAAAGCATTACAAAAAAAAAAAAGAGAAAAAACCCAAATGCATCAGAGCTCCAAGGTTTAGCCCTAATTTCAAATGATATGATCCCCTGTTTTCCCAATTTTCACATTTTATTTAAAAATATTTCAAAGATTGTAAGCAGGTCATTTGCATGACTACTAACTAGTTTGTGATCTTCAGAGATGGGGAGAAAATCTATGAGCTATGGTTAAAAAGGCAAAAATATAATTCTTATCTTAAAAAGTTACAATCAGGCTAGGCGCGGTGGCTCACGCCTGTAATCCCAGCACTTTGGGAGGCCAAGGTGGGCAGATCACGAGGTCAAGAGATCGAGACCATCCTGACCAACATGGTGAAACCTCATCTCTACTAAAAAAAAATACAAAAATTAGCTGGGCGTGGTGGCACATGCCTGTAGTCCCAGCTACTCGGGAGGCTGAGGCAGGAGAATTGCTTGAATCCGGGAGGTGGAGGTTGCCATGAGCTGAGAGAAAAGGCTGATAGAAGGACACCTTACTGAGAAAAAGAAATAGTGTGAGTAGAATTAAGAAGATGGGGAAGTATTCCAGAAAGAGTGAGACTGCTGACAACTAGTATTCAATAGGATTCATGACAATGGTTCTTAGGATAAAGAAAGAAATGTTGTATTGAAACTTACAGGTCTAAATCAGGATCATACCCAGGTAATAGTGATGGAGCAGGATTCAAGCAGAACATAAACCAAGCCATCATCAACAAGTTTCACACCATATTTACTCTGCGTTGTTAACCACCCACTGTCCTAACAGAAGACACTCCAGACTTTATAAGACCTTCAAATATTACTTCTCATCACTAAAACACCAACTACCAGAAAACAATTTCCAGAAGCTTTAGATAGAGATACTGCATGTGTTTTGGAAACGGATGAGTAAGAAGGCTAGAGTAATCTGGCAAGGGCCGGAGTGCAAAGGATTTTGAATGTCATACTATGGAGCCTAAATTTTATCCTATAGGTAATGAAATAGTACCAATGATTTATGAGCAAAAGACAAAGAGAAGCAAATGTACTTCAAAAAATAAGGCTGTGACCAGGCACAGTGACTCACACCTGTAATCCCAGCACTTTGGGAGGCCAGGCAGGTGAATCACTTGAGGACAGGAGTTTGAGACCACCCTGGCCAACATAGCGAAACCCTGCCTCTACTAAAAATATTTTTAAAAGGGGCCAAGGTCAGGAGATCGAAACCACCCTGGCTAACATGGTGACACCTCCTCTCTACTAAAAATACAAAAAATTAGCCGGGCGTGGTGGCAGGCACAGCTACTCGAGAGGCTAAGGCAGGAGAATTGCTTGAACCCGGGAGGCGAAGGTTGTAGTGAGCAGAGGTTGTAGTGAGCAGAGGTTGCACCACTGCACTCCAGCCTGGGAGACAAAGCAAGGCACTGCCTCAATTAAAAAAAAAAAAATCAGGCCAGAGCAGGTGTGGTGGTTCATGCCTGTAATTCTAGCATTTTTGGAGGCCAAGGAGGGAAGACTGCTTGAGCCCAGGAGTGCAAGACCAATGTGGGAGACATAGACCTCGTCTCTACAAATTATATATATAAAAAAAAAAATAGCTGGATATGGTGGCATTGCACCTGTAGTCCCAGCTACTTGGGAGGCTGAGGTGGAAGGATCCCTTGAGTGCAGGAATTTGAGCTGCAGTGAGCCATGATAATGTCATGGCACTCCAGCCTGGATGAGAGTGAGAAATCGTGTCAAAAAAACAAACAGAAAAATAATATGGCAGCAATAACAAGACAGATTGGAATAGAGTAGTTGAGAGGCAGAGGGACAAGCTAGAAGGCGACTGCAACATAGTTCCTGTAAGAGTGGGAGGACTCTGAGCTCAGATGGAAATCATAGAAATGGAATTCTTTATATGCTAAGGCAAAATTTTACATATATATATATATATATATATATATATTTGTTTTTGTTTTTTTTAAGATGGGGTTTCACCATGTTGGTCAGGCTGGTCTTGAACTCCCGACCTCAGGTGATCCACCCACCTTGACCTCCAAAGTGCTTGGATGAATGGCGTGAGCCACCACGCCCGGCCAAAATATATTTCTATATATTTCAAGGTAATTTCATATAAATTAACTGCCCCAATCAAGCCAAGGGGCCCCAATCATCTGAGAGGCTATAGATGCCTATAAGAAGAGTTACTGCATTCCAAACTTTCCACACCAAAAGAGTTATCTGAGGCATAATCATATACCAATTCAAAGGGTAGCGTTCATCTTCCAAAAGACACAACCTAGTTACTACCAGCCCTTGAAGGTTCTTATAATTTCTACATTAACATTTAACAATGTTCTTGGGAAGTGACAATCATGTTTTGAGGACAAATATTTTTTGCATTTTTTTTGTTTCCATCATCTTTATCAGTGCAGATATTTGCATAAAAACAGGATCACTGGTCCTTGGGGATTCATCAGTTCCTACCGCTTATTTTTCATCCATGTCATCTTCTCAATTAATGCAGAAAGAGGATTTAGACATTGAAACACCAGATTAGGGTGTCAAGTAAAAGCCAACCCCTAGAGTAAATGAATAATCTGTAAGGACGAAAAAAAATCTTGTTTTTATGCAAATACACTATACACAATAAAACAAAGAGACATTGTATCTAAGAAGTTCAATACACATCAATGTTATTGCTTCTAATTCTAAATTTTAAAACTATTTCATGTCAGCTAAATTCACTATGGTCAAGGAAAATGGCAATCAATTGCAAAGCACTACTACAGAAATTGAAATAACACCAAATTTCGAACTAGAAGATAATTTTGAAAAATCTCAGCTATGCTCATGGGACTCATTTGGCAGAAACAAGCATTTCTCTTGTACAGTTCTGGTTTAGTGCTGAAGGTGGCTGAATTAAATGACTTCAAATCCCCACCCCCAAAGCCTTAAGTTTTTAGAAATACGAACAGCAGTAATAATGGCTTTAACCGTGTAGATTTTTAAAAAATAACAAACGCCACACCAAGTTTTTGATTCTGTTGAAAGCCATTAAAATAAACTTTACTGATGCTTAGGGAACAAACTAATTATTCTGAAAAATAATAAAGAAAGAAAAAGAATCATTTAGCCCATCATGCCAGTAGGAGCAGTTTTCAAGGTAACCAAATAGTTGATAAGATAAAGTCCTTTTCAGAAAAATTCTAGCCAATAAGAGAAATGACAGAATCTTACTACCTTGCAACCTATAACGAAATAGTAAATCTAGACTGTGATCAAAGCCTGCTACTCTAGTTATAAGACTGATGAAGAATATTACAATGAATAAATCTGATTGTCATAGTTCCACCTGTATTTTATTTCCCTCTCTCATTTGTTAAAACTAGTCATTTGCTCTGTAGATTTTTCAAATTCTGGGTATTGTTTATTCCACCCCTGTGGTAGAGCTTAACATGTTCACCTATCCCTTTTTATTTCCTGATAGTTAGATCTAGAAACCATCAACTATTAATCTTAACATCATAAAAAGAAAGACCAGCACACATAACGTACACAATACGACCTGTGAAATATTCTTGCCAAAATTTAAAAAAAAAACCAACAAAACAAGCCTGTATCTGTGTAAGTTTCTAGATCTAACTATCAGGAAATAAAAAGGGATAGGTAAACATGTTAAGCTCCACCACAGAGCTGTAATCAACACAACCCAGAATTTTGAAAAATCTACAGAACAAATGTGTAGGTTTAACAAATGACAAGGGGAAATAAAATGCAGGTGGAACTATGACAGACTAAAAAAGATTTCAGAGACATACTAAATACAGTAAGTATATGAACCTTATTTAGACCCAAACTCAAATAAATGAACTGTATAAAGACATTTGAGTCAACTAGAGAAATCTAAACCCTAATTGGCTATTTTATGATATTAAACAAGTTTGTTAAAAAATTTTTATGCACAATAATGAAACTATGGTTATTTTTTTTTAAATAACAGTAGCTGGGTACAGTGGTATGTGCCTGTAGTCCCAGCTACTCAGGAAGCTGAGGTGCGATGATCGCTTGAGCCCAGGAACTCAAGTCCAGCCTAGGCAACATAGAAAAACCCAGTCTCTTAACAAACAAACAACAAAAAAAAAAACTTACATTGTGTTCCTGAAGGAAAAAAAAAACGCCAGGCCGGGCACAGGGCTCATGCTTGTAATCCCAGCACTCTGAGAGGCCAAAGTCGACATATTATTTGAGGTAAGGAGTTTGAGACCAGCCTGGCCACCATGGTGAAACCCCATGTCTACTAAAAATACAAAAATCAGCCAGACATGGTGGCGCACACCGACAGTCCCAGCTACTTGAGAGGCTGAAGGAGGAAAATCGCTTGAACCCAGGCGATGGAGGTTGCCGTGTGCCAAGATCATGCCACTGAACTCTAGCCTGGGCCACAGAGTGAGACTCTGTCGCAAAACAAAAAAAAAGAAAGAGTCTTTGTCTTCTGAAAATGCATATGAAGTTACTCGATGATGGGGTAATATGATGATACTTTAATTTGCTTTAAAGTAGCTATAGGAGTAAAACAAGATTGGCTATATGTTGATTATTGATGCAGGGCCATGGGTCATTATTCTGTTCACTGTACTTTGGTATAAATAATAAAAAGCAGGAAAAAATACTTCATTACATTTCTCAGTAGGAAAGCAGAAAAAAAGAAACTTTAATTAGAGGGACCATAATTTCCGCTACAACTATAGATAATACTGCTGACAAATCTATTTGGTAATATAGCATCTTCTTGATATAACAAGCATAAGATTTACATCATTGAAAAACACTGACACAAAGAGATAAAGGCTTGATCTTACAGCATTTATTACCCAAAGCTAGAAACAAAACCAAGGAACAAAATCAACTATGAAAGTCTCACATTCATGAATTTACTAATCACAGATTTGCCTTTTCATTATAAATCAAGAAGGTCCATGACATACATGGTAACTAGTAATTCTGCCAAGGTATAAACTTGAATCATAAGAAATAAATTACCGGTATATAGAGAAGAGTTAGGTACTAATGAGTGAACTTAGCAGGCCAGCTAACAACCATATCTCGAAGCAGTTTGCTGTTCTCTATTTCTTGATTCCATAATCAATTCAAAAATGTTTTCTTGGTAAAAGAAAGCCAACTGCTGAGACAGTAACAGAAATAAAAGATAAAGAGGTCTAAGAAAACGGCCAGGCATGGGCATAGTGGTTCATGCCTGTAATCCCAGCACTTTGGGAGGCCAAGGTGGGTGAATCATGAGGTCAGGAGATTGAGACCATCCTGGCTAACACCATAAAACCCCATCTCCACGAAAAATACCAAAAATTAGCTGGGCATGGTGACACATGCCAAGTCCCAGCTACTCAGGAGGCCAAGGCAGGAGAATCGCTTACACTCAGGAGGCAGAGGTTGCAGGTGAGTCAAGGTCGCAACACTGCACTCCAGCCTGGGCAACAGAAAAGACTGTCTCAAAAAGGAAAAAAAAGAGGTCTAAGGGAGTGACAACTGTTAGTTGAAAATTAGAAATTTTACATTAATTTTTTTTTTTTTTTTGAGATAAGTCTCACTCTATTGTCCAGGCTGGAGTGCAGTAGCACAATCTTGACTACTGCAACCTCCACCTCCCGGGTTTAAGCGATTCTCCAGCCTCAGCCTCCTGAGTAGCTGGGATTACAGGCATGTGACATCACACCCAGCTAATTTTTGTATTTTTAGTAGATACAGAGTTTCACTATGTTGGCCAGGCTGGTCTCGAACTCCTGACCTCAAGTGATCCACCTGCCAGGGCCTCCCAAAGTGCTGGGATTTACAGGCATGAGCCACTGCAGCCAGCCTTAAATTTGTAAAGTAAAATGTTGGTTGGGCACAGTGGTTCACACCTATAATTCCAGCACTTAGGAAGGCTGAAATGGGAGGATCACTTACACCCAGGAGTTCAAGACTAGCCTGGACAATATAGTGAGACTCTGTCTCTACAGAAAAATGTTAAAATTACACAGACATGGTGGTACACTTTTGTAGTCTCAGCTACTTCAGAGGCTAAGACAGGAGGATCACTTTAGCCCAGGAGTCAGAGACCAGCCTAGGCAACACAGTAAGACTCTGTCTATTTAAAAAAGAGATAATAACCTGAAAGGATTTCAATGTACTTTTACTATATAAAGAAAAATCATTTGTTACCTAGTAAATCCAGTTATTATTCCACTACACTCCACCTTAAAAAGTCAGTGAATTACACTGACTTCTTACCTTCAGAATGCTTCTCTTTTCCCTAATATACTTTCTGAATTGTAACTGGAACTCCCTGTGGAATACACAGCACATAACCCTGAACAAATGTGATCGGGGTACTCACACTCATCCAGCCCCAGCTGATAGGCTAGGTTCTGTAGGCCTCGTACCTTCTCCATCAAATTAGCCGTGGTGAGACTCCCCAGTTCTGAAACAGAATCATTTATTTCAACATCATTTCTTTCTACTCTTCTCTAGTAGCAACTCATTTGGGTTGGGAATTCCTGTTATAGAAGTTTTCAAGCTTAATTCCCATTGAATAAGTAGAAAGTGGATCCATAACTCCTCCCCGAATCTTCACACACACACACACACACACACAAACACACACACCCCAGGGAATTTTTCCACTACTGCAAAATTCCTCATAGAGGCTTACTCACTTAATAAGAAAAGAATTAGCATAAAAACAAAATTAGCTGAGCACAGTACCACATGCCTGCAGTCCTAGCTACTTGGGAGGCTAAGGCAAGAGAATCACTTGAGCCCAGGAGCTCAAGACCAGCCTGAGTAATATACCTCACCTGTACAAAAAATAATACAAAAATTCAGCCAGGCACAGTGGCTCACGCCTGTAATCCCAGCGCTTTTGGAGGCCAAGGCAGGTGGATCACCTGAGGTTAGGGGTTCGAGACCAGCCTGGCCAACCTGGTGAAACCCTGTCCCTACTAAAAATTCAAAAATTAGCTGGGTGTGGTGGCAGGTACCTGTAGTACCAGGTACTCAGGAAGAAGCAGGAGAATAACTTGAACCCCAGAGACAGAGATTGTAGTGAGCCGAGATTGCACCACTGTACTCCAGCCTGGGAGACAAAGTGAGACTCCGTCTCAGGAAAAAAAAAAAAGCCAGGTGCTGTGGCTCAGGCCTGTAATCCCAGCACTTTGGGAGGCCGAGGCAGGTAGATCACAAGGTCAGGAGTTCAAGACCAGACTATTTTGTATTATAGTAGAGACCTGGTGAAACCCCATCTCTACTAAAATACAAAAATTAGATGAGTGTAGTGGCGGGCACCTGAAACCCCAGCTGCTCGGAGGCTGAGGCAGGGGAATCACTTAGACCCAGGAAGTGGAGACTGCAGTGAGCCAAGATTGCACTGCTGCATTCATTCCAGACTGGGTAACAGAGCAAGACTTCCTCTCAAAAAAAAAAAAAAAAAAAAATCTGGGTGTGGTGGTGTATGCCTGTAGTCCCAGTTACGCAGGAGGCTGGGTAGGAGGATCACTTGAGCCCAGGAGATCAAGGCTGCAGTGAGCCATATGGCACCACTCCACTACAGTCTGGGTGACAGAGCAAGACCCCTTCTCAAATAAAAAAAGAAAAAATAAAATAACAAATTAAGTGTTTCATACTCAGGAAACATTATTTCTAACATTCATTTGGAATACACCCTTAAAATGTAAAACCCTGTCTTCTGATATAGCATTAAAAAAGCCTTGAAGGCAGATCTTATCTGGCAAAATGGACATTGTCTCCACTGTGGATTTTAAGTCCACATTATTTCAAGTTACAATAAAGTAGCAACAAAACACTTATTATTCCCCACTTCCCTAAGTTTAGAAAACAAAGACTAAATAAAAATCTAAACTTTCCCTTCAAACCAAATTCCTATTAAAATCTTTCAGTTTACTGCCTGGGTGCGGTGGCTCAGGCCTGTAATCCCAGCACTCTGGGAGGTCAAGGGAACACCTGAGGTCAGGAGTTCAAGACCAGCCTGACCAACATGGAGAAACCACGTCTCTACTAAAAATACAAAATTAGGAAGGTGTGGTGGTCCATGCCTGTAATCCCAGCTACTTGGGAGGCTGAGGCAGGAGAATCACTTGAACCCAGGAGGCAGAGGTTGCAGTGAGCCAAGATCATGCCACTGCACTCCAGCCTGGGCAACAAGAGTGAAACTCTGTCTCAAAAAAAAATATCTATTAGTTTACTAAGTAAAAAGACAGCATACTGTTGGAGGTTAGGAGCAAGATAGAGTTGGTTAGGTCAGATCTCTTTCACCATCTCAGTTACAATTCTGCAATGGCAGTTTCACTATTGGATGTTTCTGTGCTTCAGATATTTTGTGGGCCTGGAATTTGATGGATCAGCTGGTACTACCCAGATCAATAAACTGGTTCATCTGATCTTGTGGGCCCCACCCAGGAACTGATTCAGCGCAAGAGGACAGCTTTAACTCCCATGATTTCATCTCTGGGCCAACCAATCAGCACTCCCAACTCACTGTCCCCACAACCCACCAAATTATCCTTAAAAATCCTGATCCCCAAATTCTCAGGGAGACTGAGTAATAAAAACCTCCAGTCGCCTATAAAAAAAAAAAAAAAAAAAGATAATACTTAAAAATTTTCTTTCCTGAATTTTAATTAAATAGCACCCAATTCCTTTTAAGTTTAAGACACAGGTCAGTTTACACAGAACATAATGCTATGATCCCTCACTAAATATTTAAAGTTGCCTTAAGAAATACATGCTGATGAGATATTATATAAACGTCAGTTTGAAACATTAGAAGAATGAACCTGAGATGCCCTTGAGACTTAATTTTTCCATGGCTGGAGGAGGGAATCTGCATTTAAGCATCTCAGGAAGAACAATGAATTACTTCTAAAATCAAATAAAAGCGTTTTTTAAATCCCATTTATCATGCCACAGTCATTATCTATACCTAGCATAAGTAGACTTTCTTGATATGTTCAGCTGTTTAAATACCTCAAGAATCCCAGGTTTTTACCTTAATTTCAGTCTATTACTTCACAATCATCATGAATCTTATCATCAGAAGGATGATAAAATAAGTAAAGTAGGGCAAAATCATGGAAAATTAATGTTTTTTAATTTAAATTTCCACTTTGTGGTTGAGTTTCAAATCGTTTATCAAGCAACAATATTCACTACTTATAGTATTCTTTATCGAAGAAATTGATGGGATAAAAAAATTAAAAATAGGCCTTAACCCACTAAGAGGTTATCATTTAATCATACTGACAATATATAGCAGTAAATCTTAAATAAGGCATTTGTGTTATAATGGAAAGAGACTATACTTAAAAGATCAGAGTTTAGGCTGGACGTGGTGGCTCATGCCTGTAATCCCAGCACTTTGGGAGCCCGAGGCAGGTAGATCACTGGAGATGAGGAGTTCGAGACCAGCCTAGCCAACATGGCGAAACCCCGTTTCTATTAAAAATACGAAAATTAGCTGGGCATGCTGGTGGGCACCTATTAGTCCCAGCTACTCAGGAGGCTGAAGCAAGAGAATCTCTTGAACCTGGGAGGCAGAGGATGCAGTGAGGTGAGATCAGGCCACTGCACTCCTGCCTGGGTAACAGGAGAGACTCCCATCTCAAAAAAAAAAAAAAAAAATCAGAGTTTAAATTTTAACTTTATATTTATATTTTTATTTTTTTGAAATAGAGTCTTGCTCTGTCACCCAGACTGGAGTGCAGTGGAATGATCTCGGCTCACTGCAACCTCCACCTCCCGGGTTCAAGTGAATTCTCCTGCCTCAGCCTCCAGAGTAGCTGGGATTACAGGAGCCTGCCACCATGCCTGGTTTTTTGTATTTTTAGTAAAGATGGGGTTTTGTTATGTTGGTCAGGCTGGTCTCAAACTCCTGACCTCGGGAGATCTGGCCCCCCAGGCCTCCCAAAGTGCTGGGATTATAGGCATGAGCCACTACCCCCAGCCAAATTTTAACTCATTCTATTTTGGTTAACTTATGAACTTTGAGTATCATCATACCCAACGCACAGGACCCTTATGATAATTAAATGAAAAAATTTGTTAGAGCTATTTGTTAACTATGTTATACAAATTTAAGTTCACATTTGAAGAATTTAGCAGCCCCAGCAGAACTCGCTATGACTGACTCTTGAATTGGCAGGATTTCTACACAAGGAAACGGTACAGAAAGGCATTGTAGATATGAAAAAGTACAAATAAGAAGAGTTAAATGAGAATTCTGAAGCCAAAAATACTTGTAAAAAAATGGAGAAGCAGTTTATGGAAAAACATAAATAACCAGTTAAAGTTATCCACCAGCATCACTTACCTTTCAACATGTCGATGTCATCACGTTCTATCTCGGCCATCCATTTGGGTGGAGAACTAGTAATAGGCTGTCAAAAAAAAAAATATATATATATATATATATATACATATATCCATTATGTATAAGATACATAAAAAGTGTGAAGAGATCCTACTATTCTTTTTTTTTTTTTTTTTGAGACAGAGTCTCACTCTGTTGCCCAAGTTGGAGTGCAATGGCACAATCTTGGCTCACTGCAACCTCTGCCTCCCAGGTTCAAGCAGTTCTCCTGCCTCAGCCTCCCAAGTACCTGGGACTACAGGCACATGCCACCATGCCCAGCTAATTTTTTTGTATCTTTGGTAGAAACAGGTTTCACCGTGTTAGCCAGGATGGTCTCGATCTCCTGACCTCATGATCCACCCTCCTTGACCTCCCAAAGTGCTGGGATTACAGGTGTGAACCACCGCACCTGCCCAAGACCTTATTATTCTTATAAGAAATATAGCCTGGGCCAGATGTGGTGGCTGCCACGGTGGGCAGATTACTTGAAGTCAGGAGTCAGGAGTTCAAAACCATCCTGGCCAACATGGGGAAACTCTGTCTCTACTAAAAATGCAAAAAAAAAAAAAAAAAAGCTAAGTGCAGTGGCACACACCTGTAATGAATCCTAGCTACTTGGGAGGCTGAGGCATGAGAATTGCCTGAACCTCTTGAACATGGGAAGTAGAGGTTGCAGTGAACCAAGATTGTGCCACTGTAATCCCATCTGGGTGAGAGTATTACTCTGTCTCAGAAAAAAAAAAGAAGGAGAAGGAGAAGGAGAAGGAGAAGGAGAAGAAGAAGAAGAAGAAATGTAGCTTGTCACATAGTTTTCAAGTTGTTTGAAAATACTGTCAGATTACAATTTCAAAAATCTGGATATCTCCAGGTTTAGATATGGCCTACAAATAGTTACTGTAAAAAATATGGCTCATCTTTAAAGTCAGTCTCAGAGAAATTATTGTGGAAGAATAAGTATGACCACTGTTACTGATTTATGCCTAACAAGTTAGCATAGCAATGAAAGAAATTACTTGAAATTCAGTTCTGGTCAAAGCCTCCAATTCAAACATTTGAAACACTAATCAGTAAGTAACATTCTATGGCATAAAAGAAGATTCAAAGATGAATCAAGAATGAGAAAATCCTCATTTCAGTGTGTGAAGTCTGGAATGGTCATCACTAGGAATTTCACAATTTTATTGTAGAGGTTTTAGAAAACTTCAGAATTTTACAATTTTTCATTTATGAAAGTGAATTTAGAACTATGAAAGAAAGCCCATTCTTAGAATAACTTTGGGTCAGCAGTTCAATGCTAGTTGCACACCAGAATCACCTATGTAACTTTTAAAAATATAAATGCCAGGCCAGGTGTGGTGGCTCACACCTGCAATCCCAGCACTTTGGGAGGCTGAGACCGGGGGATCACCTGATGTCAGGAGTTTGAGACCAGCCTGGCCAGCATGGTGAAACCCCATCTCTACTAAAGATACAAAAAATTAGCCAGGCACAGTGGCATGCGCCTGTAATCCCAGCTACTTGGCAGGCTGAGCTGAGGCAGGAGAATTATCTGAACCAGGGAGGCAGAGGTTGCAGTGAGCAAAGATCATCCCATTGCACTCCATTTATACACACACACACACACACACACACACACACACATATATATATATATTTTTTTTTTCTGAGACTGTTGCCCCGTCACCCAGGCTGGAGTGCATTTATATATATTATATGTTATATATATATAATATATATGTTTTTATATATATAATATATATATTTATATATATATTATATATTATATATATATAAAACAAGGCATTTATATAAATGCATATATATATATATATATATATAAATGCATATATATATATATATATTATATAAATGCCTTGGTCACACCCCAGACATAATGATTTAGAATATAAGGGGTAGGGAAGGGTCCAGTGGAAAAAGTAGAGCAAGGGACTCCTCACATGTGTTTTTCTTTTTTTCTAATTAATTTATTTTTTTCTCTTGGTGCTCATTTATTACAGTGCATTTTTCAAGAGCTCCATAGCTGCAGGTCAATGATTCTGTCATACACAAAAGGTAGGGTTGAGAAACATTATTTCAGCTTTGTGTCCTTCTCTTTTTTTTTTAATTAAAATGTACTAATTATGTGATAAGCAAAACACTTTACATGCATCATGTCATTTACCTCCAATCAACTCTATAAAGTAGTTATTATTCTCCCCATTTTTCATATTTAAAAAAAGCCAACTATGTTGGCTCACCCCTGTAATCCTAACACTATGAGAGGCTGAAGCAGGAGGATGGCTTAAACCCAGAAGTTCAAGACAAGCCTGGGAAACATAATGAGTAGTGAGACCTCATCTCCACAAAAAACTTTAAAAGGCTGGGTAAGGTGGCTCACACCTGTAATCCAGCACTTTGGGAGGCCAAGGTGGGAAGATCACTTGAGGTCAGGTGTTCGAGACCAGCCTGGCAAACATGGTGAACTCTGTCTCTACTAAAAATGCAAAAATTAGCTGGGCATGGTGGTGGGTGCCTATAATCCCAGCTACTTAGGAGGCTGAGTCAGGATAATTGCTTGAACCTGGTTAAGTGGAAGTTGCAGTGAGCCGGATCGCACCACTGCACTCCAAGCTAGGCAATGAGTGAGACTCTGTCATAAATAGAAAACTAAAATAAAGAAGAGAGAGCTACGCTTTTACCCAGGAGTGAAACTTTGGATAGACCTCAGTAGATAAGGGATATTACTTACACTTTTGAAGGAAGCCGCAAATTCAGCAACACCTGGTACTAAACAGAAAAGCAACACATTGTTTATTCAGTAAGTATGACTGCTCAGGCATAGAGGATTCAAATAATAACAGCTTTGTCTGTTTTCTTACAGTTTAGAAGAGAGAGAATAAACCAATAATTATAATACTATTTCAGCACTCAAAGAAAGATGCCAGGGCTATGGGAAGACAAAAAGTGGAAAGCTAAGTCAGACACAGGGGCATAAAAAGCTTTTCAGAGAAAATAATGCCTCAACTGAACTTTGAAGAACCAGGAGTTAGCTGGTTGGGAGGGTGCTAAGATACAGTATCTCTTACCAGAAAGTATAAACTGCCTTTTTAGAGGTGCTGTTCTGTCAATCCAATTTTATTTATTTAAATTTCTCACCCAAAGAGTCACATTAAACGGCAGAAAAATAAACATTAGGGCTGGGCATTTTGGGAAGCCAAGGCAGGAGGATCACCTGAAGATCCGCCTAAGCAAGAATGCAAGACCCCAGTCTCTACAAAAAAATGAAAAAACTAGGCCAGGTGCAGTGGCTCATGTCTGTAATCCCAACATTTTGGGAGGCTGAAGCAGGTGAATCACTTGAGCTCAGGAGTTGGAGACCAGCCTGGGCAATACAGTGAAACACTGTCTCTACAAAAAATACAAAACTTAGCCAGGCATAGTGATGTCCTAGCTACTCGGGAGGCTTGAGCCCAAGAAGTTGAGGCTGCAGTGAGCCATGATCACACCTCACCTCTGCACTCCAACCTGGGCAAGAGAGCAAGACCCTGTCTCAAAAAAAAAAAAAAAAATTAGTTGGACATGGTAATGTACACCTATAGTCCTAGCTACTCAGGAGGCTAAGGCAGGAGGATGGCTTGAACTCAGAAGTTGGAGGCTGTAGTAAGCTATCATCATGCCATTGCACTTTAGCTTGGGTGACAGAATGAGACTCTGTTTCTAAACAAATAAATAATTAAAATAAAAATTTTAAAAATAAAATACTGTGGGCCAGGTGCAGTAGCTCATGCCTATAATCCCAGCACTTTGGGAGGCCGAGTTGGGCGGATTGCCTGAGCTCAGTTTGAGGCCAGTATGGGCAACATGGTGAAACCCTGTCTCTACTAAAATACAAAAAATTAGCCAGGCATGGCAGTGTTCGCCTGTAGTCCCAGCTACTCGGGAGGCTAAGGCAAGAGAATTGCTTGAACCCAAGAGGCAGAGGCTGCACTGCAGTGACCTGAGATTGAGCCACTGCACTCCAGTCTGGGCGACAGTGCAAGACTGCTTCTCAAAAAAAAAAAAAAAAGATAATGTTCAATCTTACCAAAAAGGAAATGCAAAATAAAAGTAATAGATTAGTAACATCTAATACTGGCTAGTATATGAGGAAAAGGGCCTTCATACAGGTAACCTCTTCCATTTATACAAAGATATGTGTACAGGGGTATTCACTGATAAACTGTAAAATCAAAAACTAGATAATAGCCCAGGTACAGTGGCTCACACCTGTAATCCCAGCACTCTGGTGGCCAAGGTAGAAAGACAACCTGAGCCCAGGAGTCTGAGACTAGTCTGGGCAACATAGTGAGACCCTGTCTCTACAAAAGAAAACAATTTAAATAGCTGGTCATGGTCATACATGCCGGTAGACCTAGCTACTCAGGAGGCTGAAGTGAGAGGATCACTTGAGCCCAGAAGTTGAGGCTGTAGTCAGCTGTGCTCAAACCACTGCATAAAGCCTGGGTGACACAGTGAAATCCTGGCTCAAATTAAAAAATAAAAAAAATAAAAAAATAAAAAAACTAGACATAACTTAAGTTTCCAAATAATGTATGAATACATAAACTATAGTATATCTATACAATGAAATACATTTAAAAGAATGAAGTAGGCCGAGCAGGTGGCTCACGCCTGTAACCCCAGCACTTTGGGAGCCTGAGGCGGGCGGATCAGGAGGTCAAGAGATCAAGACTAGCCTGGCCAACATGGTGAAACCCTATCTCTACTAAAAATACCAAAAATTAGCTGGATGTGGGGGCACGTGCCTGTAGTCCCAGATACTTAGGAGGCTGAGGCAGGAGATCTGCTTGAACCCGTGAGGCAGAGGCTGCAGTGAGCTGAGTGTACCACTGCACTCTAGCCCTGAGCAACAGAGCAAGACTATGGCTCAAAACAAAATAATAATTATTGTTTAAAGGCTTCTTATTCTCTGAGTCACACTGTGTTCCAAAAATATTAAACCACCAAACAGTATTCTTAACACTGGACTTCGGTCTCTTCTCTTTTAAATAAAATAAATCTTTAATCATTTAAGTTAAATGATAATGCTTCAGGCTGATCCAATGGTAGTGAATTATCAGAACTTTGTTTTTTTTTTTGAGATAGAGTCTCACTCTGTCACCCAGCCTGAAGGACAGTGGCACAGTCTCTGCTCATAGCAGCCTCCGCCTCCTGGGTTCAAAAGATTCTCATATCTCAGCCTCCCAAATAGCTGGGATTACAGGCATGTGCCACCATACCCAGCCAATATTTGCATTTTTTTTAGTAGAGATCGGGTTTTGCCATGTTGGCCATGCTGCTCTCAAACTTCTGATTCTCAGATGATCCTCCCAACTAAGCCTCCCAAAGTGCTGGGATTACAGACATGAGCCACCAGGCTCAGCCAGTTATCAGAAATTAACATTAATGTCACTAAGGTTGGTATACAAACCCCCACTGCTAACTAGATTCAAAATTAATAAAAATTTACAGAATAAATGATAACTCTTTAAAAATCTCCCAAGGAGCATTGTTTCTCCTGCATTGACTCTGATTTAAAGAAAGCAAAAACTTACATTGTTCTGGCCAAAGATCTGGTGAGGCACGGTCAAGTTTTTCAAAACTTAGCAAAGATGCTTCCAAATCTGTCCCTAGAACAAAACATCCAGATGAACCAAGAAGACAGAAAACACATTAATTTATATGACACTTCAATCTCAAAGAACATAAACTGGAACACTCACCTGCATGTCTAGAGATATGAGTTCTATAACTATGGATGCCACTGGTCCGTGATAGAATACAAATAAATCACTCTCCCTTACCAAACTTCACTCTTTCAAACTATGAATGGGAATGATATTTTATCAGGGGTGTTAAGAAAAATGAATATCAATGAACCCACCTGCATCTTCCCTCAAACTCCTGTGCTTTCCTCCAGTTACAAAGAATTAAGTGTTCCTGCTTCCATGAAACAGACTCTTATGTTAGCACTCTAGATGCCATCTCTTCTTGCTTTGTCAAGGACATCATTTGAACATCACTTTCTCATGCACCATCAGTTTCTACCTTCTCTAGGCTTATGCTCAGTAGCAAGCCTGTTGCACAATTTCTGTGCTTAAAAAAAAAAACAGGGCTGGGTGCGGTGGCTCATGCCTATAATCCCAGCACTTTGGGAGGCCGAGTGGGCAGATCACGAAGTCAGGAGTTTGAGACCAGCTTAGCCAATATAGTGAAACTCCGTCTCTACTAAAAATACAAAAATTAGCTGGGTGTGGTGGCACGTGTCTGTGGTCTCAGCTACTCGGAAGGCTGAGGCAGAAGAATCACTTAAACCCTGGAGATGGAGGCTGCAATGAGCTGAGATCATGCCACTGCACTCCAGCCTGGGCGACAGAGTGAGACTCCATCTCAAAAAAACAAAACAAAACAAAACAAAACAAAAACGTCAGGGCAGGTGGGGTGGCTCATGCCTATAATCCCAGCACTTTGGGAGGCTGAGGCTTGAGCTCAGGAGTTCAAGACAGGCCTGGAAAATTAGCTGGGTTTGGTGGCAGGAGCCTTTAATCCATCCCAGCTACTCAGGAGGCTGAAGCAGGAGAATCACTTAAATCCTGGGGGACAGAGGTTGCAGTGAGCCGAGATTGTGTCACTCCAGCCTGGGTGACAGAGCAAGACTCCATCTGGGAAGGGAAAAAAAAAAAAAAAGACCAGCCTGGCAACACAGTGAAATCCTGCTGGGCATGGTAGCATGCTCCAGTAGTTCCAGCTACTCAGAAGGCTGAGGTGGGAGAATCACTTGAGCCTGGCAGGCCAAAGCTAATGTGAGCCGTGTTTGTCCCACGGTACTCCAGCCTGGATGAGAAAGTGAAACACTGCTTTAAAAAAAAAAAAAAAAAACAGGTCGGGCGTGGTGGCTCACACCTGTAATCCCAGCACTTTGGGAGGCCAAGGCAGGTGAATCACAAGGTCAGGAGATCGAGACCATCCTGGCCAACATGGTAAAATCCTGTCTCTACTAAAAATACAAAAATTAGCTGGGCATGGTGGTACGTGCCTATAATCCCAGCTACTGGGGAGACTGAGGCAGGAGAACAGCTTGAATCAGGGAGTCAGAGGTTGCAGTGAGACGAGATCACGCCACAGCACTCCAGCCTCACAAAAGAGCAAGACTTGGTCTCAAAAAAAATAAAGAAAGGAAAAGAAAACCAAAATCCCTCTCTCTTGATCCACGACCTTTTCCATACCCTCTTCACTGCAAAAGTTCTTGCAATGTCTTTTCTGCTGTCTCTACTTCCTCACATCACTCTCTCTCCTTAATGTACAACAATCAGGCTTCTCTCCCTACATACATATAAACTGCTGTTGTCAAAGCATCTACAACCTATGTTGCCAAAACAATGGTCACTTCTCTGTTCTGTCTTTTTTCAGATGGAGTTTTGCTCTTCTCTCTCAGGCTAGAGTGCAATGGTACAATCTTGGCTCACTGCAACCTCTGGCTCCCAGGATCAAGCAATTCTCTCCTGCCTTAGCCTCCTGAGTAGCTGGGATTACAGGCGTGTGCCACCATGCCAGGCTAATTTTCATATTTTTAGTGGAGCCAGGATTTTGCCATTTGGCCAGTCTGTCTCAAACTCCTGACCTCAGGTGATCCACCCATCTAGGCCTCCCAAAGTGCTGGCATTACAGCCATGAGCCACCATACCCGGCCTGTTTTGTCTTATGTGACCTCTTTGAAGCAAACACATACCATTTTCCTTGAAACACTACTCCCAGCTTCTATAAAACTACTATGCTGGTTTCTCTCCTACTTCATTGACTTTCCTTTTTCCTTTTCTTTTTCCTCTAAGGCCCCATTCTACTCTCTAACTCACTTAGTCCCATAAATTGATACGAATGGGAGACAGGGAAATACTGGGTAGAAGAGGGTGGTTCCCCAGCAAAGGCCCCACACTTAAGCCTGGAAACCTGCGGCCTGAAATGGGAATAGACATTCCTGTTTTCATGCTCAAAAGTTGCCTTTTGGCCCACCATGCACCACTATTCTATACCCATATAAACCCCATATCTCAGGCTCTACAAGATGAACAGATGGGCAGAAGAACTGCAGAACACCACATCAGAAAGAAGAGGAGCATCTGAATGCCCAGAGGAGTTTGACTGGGGATGGTAAGAGAGGATTGGAGGCTGAATGGCCAAACTCCAAGGGAAAATCATCTTCCTACTCCATCCGCTTTCCAGCTCCTCATCCATCCCACTGAGAGCCACCTCCACCAGTCAGTAAAATCCCCACATTCACCATCCTTCAAGTCTTTGTGTGACCTGATTCTTCCTGGACACAGACAAGGACCTGGGTACCAAGAGGGCACTGAGCCACTTAACACTTAAGCATCTGCAGACAGCAAAGCTAAGAGTGCATTGGCCAGGCGTGGTGGCCTCCCAGCACTTTGGGAGGCCAAGGCAGGTGGATCACTTGAGGTCAGGAGTTCAAGACCAGCCTGGCCAACATGATGAAACCCTGTCTCTATCAAAACTACAAAAATTAGTCAGGCGTGGTGGCACATGCCTGTAGTCCTAGCTACTGGGGTGGCTGAGGTAGGAGAATCACTTGAACTTGGGAGGCAGAGGTTGCAATAAGCCTAGACCACACCATTGCACTCCAGCCTGGGCAACAGAGTGAGACCCCATCTCAAAAAAAAAAAAAAATGCCCACTTGGGCTTTGGGAGTCACAGGCACCCACTCCTAGACGCTACTGTGGGGCTGGAGCCTAAAAGAATTTGCCCTGACTCCTACACCTGCCCAACTGCATGTTCCCACTCCCACAAGAGGTTTGAGTACACACAGACAAGCCACACCCCGTCACATGTCCTAGGGTCAGGGAACTCTCCTATTTCGACATGAGGATTTTACCTTCATCTGCATGCCAATGTTCCATATTTATATTTCTAGTCCCAATCTTTCTAAATAACTACAAAGGTTTATGTCCACATGGTTACTTGAATCCCTCTCTATTTACAAATATAAAAAACTGGCCGGGCGCGGTGGCTCAGACCTCTAATCCCAGCACTTTGGGAGGCTGAGGCAGGTGGATCATGAGGTCAGAAGTTCGAGACCAGCCTGGGCAACATGGTGAAACCCCGTCTCTATTAAAAAATACAAAAAATTAGCCAGGCATGGTGGCAGGTACCTGTAATCCCAGCTACCAGGGAGGCTGAGGCAGGAGAATCACTTGAACCCAGGAACAGAAGTTGCAGTGAGCCACGACTGCACCACTGCACCCCACCTTGGGCAACAGAGCGAGACTCCGTCTCCAAACAAAAAAACAAAAAACACTTACGGCCAGACACAGTGGTACATACCTGTAATCTGAGCGCTTTGGGAGGCCAAGGTGGGTGGATTGCTTGAGCTCACAAGTTTGAGACCAGCCCGGCCAACATAGTGAAAACCTATCTCTACAAAAAATTAAAAAATTAGCCAGGTATGGTGGTATCAGCCTGTAGTCTCAGCTACTTGGGAGGCTGAGGTAGGAGGATGGCTTAAGTCTGGATGCCAAGGCTGCAGTGAGCTAAGGGCATGTAGCTGCACTCCAGCCTGGGTGATAGAGCCATACTTTGTCTGAAAAACAAAACAAGACAAAACAAAAAACGGCCCGGTGCAGTGGCTCATGCCTGTAATCCTAGCACTTTGGGAGGCCAAGGTGGGTAGACCACCTGAGGTCAGGGGTTCGAGAGACCAGCCTGGACAACATAGTGAAAACCCGTCTCTGCTAAAAATGCAAAAATTAGCCAAGTATGGTGGCAGACATCTGTAATCCAAGCTACTTGGGAGGCTGAGGCAGAAGAATCACTTGAACCTGAGAGGCAGATGTTGCAGTGAGCCAAGATCGTGCCACTGTACACCAGTCTGGACGACAGAGCGAGACTCTGTCTAAAAAACAAAAATACCACAAACAAACAAACAGAAAACCCACTTAAACCTAATTATCTTAAAAACCATATTCCCCCAATCCAATCTTCTCCCATCTCAAGAAATAGCACCACCATAAACCCCAATTCTCAAATCAAAAACCCAGGTATCATCCTTTATACTTTCTTTTCCTTCATCCTTCCATAACCAATCCACCAGTAAATCTAGTTGCTTCTTTTTTTTTTCTTTTTTTAAATTAAATCTAGTTGTTTCTACCTTTAAAATACCCCCTGAAATCAAATAATCCAAGAAACCATCACTTATTTCCTGGACTACTTCAACAGCCTCTCGACAGATCTCTCTGCTCCCATTCTTACCCTTTCCTCTTCATGCCCCCAAATCTATTCTCCATAAAGTGGCCAGAATTGATTTTTTAAAATGTCAATCAGTTCATGTCACTCTCCAGCTTAAAGTTCCTCCAGCTAAATCCATCAGTGTATATCTACCATGCTCCATAAAATCTTACATGATTCAGCCTCTGCCTAATTATTTGACATCATTTCCCTTCCACTCTTACCTTGCACACAGTAGTACTCAATATTAACATTTGTTGAGTTGTTACTGTATGCTCAGTATGCTAACCAGTTGCATAACTAGTTCATTTAATGCTATAAACAGCTATAACATTTTCTGGGTAAGCCACATCTTTGGAAGTCTGGAAAAAACAACTATAAACTCACTCCCCAGAAAATATACATACGTACAAAATTTTTCAACATGTACTTTTCTCTAAACCGTATTTGTTTTGCCAAATATCCCAAAGGAATTTCCAATGGCATTTTAATTGTAAAGAACTCAACTAATATATTGCCTTAACTAAAGCATCTAAAATTAGCTTTTTTTTCTTATCAATTTTGAGGAATGTTACTGATGGAAAGCTCAACCATAACAAAAATAGTTATTGGGCCAGGTGCAATGGCTCATGTCTGTAATCCCAGTGCTTTGGGAAGCTGAGGCAGGAAGATTGCTTGAGCCCAGGAGTTTGAGACCAGCCTGGGCAGAGTGAGACTCCATCTCTACAAAAAATAATACGGTGGCTCATGCCTGTAATCCCAGCACTTTGGGAGGCCAAGGTGAGTGGATCACCTGAGGTCAAGAGTTTAAAACCAGCCTGAGCAACATGGTGAAACCCCATCTTTTTTTTTTTTTTTTTTTTTTTGAGACAGAGTCTTGCTCCATTGCCAGGTGCCAGGCTGGAGTGCAGTGGCGCGATCTCGGCTCACTGCAACCTCCGCCTCCCGGGTTCAAGCAATTCTCCTGCCTCAGCCTCCCGAGTAGCTGAGACTACAGGCACGCACCACCACGACCAGCTAATTTTTGTATTTTTAGTACAGATGGGGTTTCACCATGTTCGCCAGGATGGTCTCGATCTCTTGACCTTGTGATCCATCCACCTCCGCCTCCTAAAGCGCTGGGATTACAGGCGTGAGCCACTGCACCCGGCCGTGAAACCCCATCTTTACTAAAAATACAAAAATTAGCCAGGTGTGGTGGCATGTGCCTATAATCCCAGCTATTGGAGAGGCTGAGGCATGAGAATCACTTGAACCCAGGAAGCAGAGGTTGCAGTGACCCAAGATGGTGCCATGGCACTCCAGCCTGGATGACAGTATGAGACTCCATCTCAAAACAAAATAAATAATAACAAAAATAAATTAGCTGGGCATGGTGGTGTGAGCCTGTAGTATCAGCTACTTGGGAAGCTGAGATGGAATGATAGCTTAAGCCTTTCAGTGTGCTGGGAGCTATAATCATACCACTGCATTTCAGCACCGGCAATAGAGTGAGAGAGACCCTGTCTCTAAAAGAAAATTTAAAAAAAAATCATTGAGGGTAGGATCTATAACCTACACCGGTGACCTTATGATACCACAATCTGGGACAGAACTCTGCTGTGAGTCTTACTCTCACAAATTAAGTAATTAGATGGCTGTATTTGAATTTCAGTTTTCTCCTTTTCAAAGAAGTTCCAGCAAATTTAGCATGAAAAAGACAAAAGAGTAAATAAAAAACATTTTTAAATCAATATTGTTTGAATTAAATTTTAAAGACAGTGACAGGTGGAACACTAAAAATAGAAGTGAGAGAGCTAGGCCATGGAATATTTTAGAATGAGTTACTTATTTAGAAGATGAATTTAATTAAGTTCAAAGTGCTCGACTTGATTTTGTCAGATTAAAAAGAAAAGATTAGGTGGAGAAGAGTGAAACTCTGTAAGAGATAAGAATGAAAACTTAAAAAATAAAGAGTGCAAATAAAGTGACCATAAAGATGGCTAGAAGACCAAAGGAAAAACATACAATGTTTTTAATACTCTTCCTGGCCAAAGAAAGGAAACTAAATTGAGAAGACAGGGGAAAAAATCCAACTCAAGAAACACATCTTTAAAATCCCCCAAATCTGTAAAAACAATTTAAAAATAAACTAAAAAATTTAATAACAATTACCTCTACTTCTATCACTTGGCTTTGTTATTTTAAATTGTGGTGAAATATACATAAATTTGACCATTTTAACAACTTTTAAGTATACAGTTCAGTGGTATTAAGTACATTAATTGTGCAATCATCAGCACATTCATTTCCAGAATGTTTTTCACCTACCTAAACTGAAATTTGGTACCTGTTAACAGTAACTCCCTATTCCCTCGCCTTGCTTTTTAAATGCCCTTCTTTCTGGCAAGAGAAGGACATTTCAGCAAGAGAGCACCCAGGCAGGAGACTCTCTTTTGACTCCAAACATCCATAATTTCTTTTTTGTTGTTGTTGAGACGGGGGTTTCGCTTTGTCACCCAGCCTGGTGCAGTGGCATGAACATGGTTCACTGCAGCCTCCACCCCAGGGCTCAAGAGATTCTCCTGCCTCAGCCCCCCAAGTAGCTGGGATTACAGGTGTGTGGCACCATGCCCAGCTAATTTTTGTATTTTTTTTTTGTAGAGACTGGGCTTCATCATGTTGTCTAGGTTGGTCTTGAACTCCTGAGTTCAGGCAATCTGCCCGCCTCAGCCTCCCAAGATCTTAAAACTTAAGATCAAGTAATATATTATTTCTGCATATATCTAATCAATCTTTCAATAAATGCTAATTAAAGACCTACTGTTCACCAGGCACTGTGCTAAACCCTGGGATCCAACTATAAACAAGACAAACTTGAAATTTATAATCTAGCATAAAAGGGGCAAAGTTAACAGAATTACTATGCTGACAAGGAAGACACTGAGATAATGAATAATGGTGGGGAAGAGCGACTCCAGATCCTGTGTTCTAAGAGACTCTTTGGGAGGTGACATCTAAAAAAAGATCTGAAATTGAAAAAAAAAATATTTATATGTTTGAGTAATCTTTTGGAATCTCAAAGCACCTAGCATTATGCGTTTCATGTAGCAGGTACTTAATAAAGCTCACCTTGGCTTCAATTTCCTCATTCCTGTAATGAACTTTCAAGATTCCTTCCAAATACAAAATGTGTTTGTCTAAGGGAGGGAAACCTATATATCAATGAAATCGATATATATAGTTGGGATGGGAACGACAGAAACAAAAATGAGTTTAAAAATGACTGCAAGACCCTAACTCTCTAAAGCAGAACCGAGACCAAAAGCATAGGAATATACCAAGACAACCTAATTGTTACTTGAAATGACTTGCATTTTACAATACATAAACAGAAATCGTTCATTCACTCAGCCTGAAGAAACAACACAAAAAGCAGATGCAAAAGAGGTTGCGACCTGTGCAAGACAACACTTAAAAGCTCAATACTCATTCTCCTCGCGACTCTCACGGTGAGGGGCCGAGAACGTCCCCCGATTATCTTGCTGCCACGGCAGTGGTCCCAAACAAGAGACAGGAGAGAGATCATGTTTCTCTTGCGGTTCAGTATCGAGATGAGGTCAGCCAGCAGCCACTGCTAGAGTTTGTGAGAATCGTTCCATCCCTGCGCTCAATCAGAAGAAAACTGATCCCTCAGTGTGATACTCCAAGGAGGAGACTAGTTTAAGGCACGTCCTTTCCTCCACTAACATCTCCTCCGAGGCTCTCAGCCTCACCCAAATAGAGACAAGGAAGGATCAGGGCAACCCCCTGTCCTTTTACCCAAAGTGAGTCCCTCCCTGGTGCCCTCCTCCACACGCCTGGTACAGAGCGGGGAAACTGGGCACCTCCGGAGCCGCTGTGAAGAACCAGTGAGCTGAAGACGGCGATGGATCTCAAGAAAAAAAGTAAAAGGGAAAGGAGAAGAGCCCAAGAAAGAAATGTATGTTTGAGGGGCAGAGACAGAGTAGACGTTGCCGGTAGAGCAAAGAAGGAGGCTGCAGGCAAAGATCTACAAGCCGGCTCTTACCGTCTGTGGGAGACGCCATCTTCCAACCCATGTCACGTGACATGGCCAACCGTCGGCGGGAAAACGAGGATCCATAAGCCACTCCCCCAAAGAGAAACCCTATCCCCAACTCACAGCCTAGTCTCATTCCCTCGCCTCATAGGGCAACATTTGCCTATCCCCGCCCCTAATTATAGCCACGCCCCTCGCGCAGTTGTTGAGGTGGAGCGACTGCAAAATTCTTGGAGGGTCTTATTTACTTTTCTCGGTGAGAGGGCGGGGCCTCGGTTGCGCCCTTGGCCAATCGGAGTTCCGGGTTAGGGGGCGTCTTCCCCGTGTGCACAGTATGGAGTGTCCAAGTCAGGGGCGTCTTCTCTACCTCCGCCAACAGCATTGGCTGAAGTGGGAGAGGGCGAGACCTTTTTCGCTCCTGACCAATCACTTATTCACAGGACTGGCGTGTGAGGGGCGGAATCAGGTGTTGGTTCGCGTGACTGGCTGGAAAAAATAGTCCTACCCACCAATGAGGAAGCCAGTCAGGATGGAGGGCGAGGCCTGGCAGCTGTAGTGCTTCTGAGCAGTAGAGGCGCAGGGTGCGGAGCTAGGGAGGCCGAGAGCCATGGCGGCGGTGGTGGCGGCGGCGGCAGTGCGAGCCCGGATCCTGCAGGCGAGTGAGGGTGGTGCCAAGGGACCATGAAGCCAGGACTTAGATCTTTTCCGTCCACTCCGTGAACCATCCTCGGGCGGGACCACCTTTTTGGCCCAGCCCCTTTTTGGCCGGACCTCGTGTTCCTACGCGACCTGTGCGGCCCTGTCCCATGCGCAGCTCTCACTTCATACCCTACCTCGTCCCGGATCCCACCCGAGCTGTTACTCTTGGCCTTACACCCTTTTACTCCTGAGCCTCCTCTTTTCTGGCTCTCGCCCACTCTCCTCCAGCCCTGCCCGGTCCCTGCTGTCACTCTCTTGCCCTCACCACTCCATCCGTCCACCGTCTTTCCTTTTCACCTCTGCACCAGCCTTCTCTCTCTCCCCCGAGAACTACTCTTTTTGATTACTCTTTCCCTGCCGTGAGCGTCCACGTTGCCATTGCTCCCTTTCCCCACCCTACTTCACTTTCCTTGATCCGAGGTAAGGGGGAGAGGGGATGTGAGGGGAGAGGGTAAGTGTATGAACTTTGAATCTCCTTCTAGACGTGTACTCCAGGTATTCACCAAAGGCAGCCATTTGCAAGCTATTTTCCCCAAGCGTGGCTCTTTGTATTTTCCATAGACTGGGTTGTGCCCTTTCTTGCCAAAACTTTCAGCTAAACTTTCTCTCAGCTAAGTTACAGTTTACATAGATAGGGCACATCTACATAGGGTAGATGAGGGCACATAGTTAACGCTACCAGTGTGTTCCATGTACGTTCAAGGTACTAAACATCTTTAAGACAGGTGATAGAAAGTGGGAGCCAAGTAAGACAAGAAGTCAAAGTTCTCACCCCAAAATCAGCTCTTCTAGTGCCACACACCCTCATCATCTCTGCCTTTGGGGGATTGATTCCTCTCTGAAGCCAGCCAAAGGAGAAATGACAAAGCTACAGGAGTTGCATGCCTGAGGCCTGTAATCTCCAACTCTGTTTATATATTCTAGCAAGGATTTAGAGTACAAGGCAAGATTTACTGCAGGCAAGAAACAAATCTGCAAGAAACAACATTGCCCTTCTTAATCATTACATCCAGTCTGAGAATTTCCCCTATATTGCTGGGCTTTTAGGTAATATTAGTATTCACCCGGTTTCAGTGAGTTCTGCTACAGAAACTTGGGCATTTTAAAGATTCTTGGCAGAGTCAGCAAAGGTTCATGTTTAAATATGCTATTTAATGGGGACGGTACGAAAGATGAGTTTGAAGAGTTTGCCAGGTGGTCTGGCCTCACTCATATTTCTTGCTTTGATCCTCATTCTGTTCTAGTATCTTTTTTTGGTAGCAGGAAAACAAAGTTTCCACCCTATATTTTTCTTACCAACTTCTTGCAATCTTTTACTGAAATTGGCTTTTTTCCTTTGCCTTTTCTTCCCCTCCCATCACAATGAGTCATTGAGAACCTTAAAAAAAGTATTTTGTCCTTTTCCATCAAGTAGAAGAATCTCTTTCCATGTACTTTATTTCAGAAACAGACACTATGTATTTTCTGATTCATTTGGAGAAACTTCTGAAGTGACCTGGAAAAGAACAGATAAAGTAATCCTCAGCAAACTAGGAGTTGTTGTAATGTGAAACTTTGAATAAAAGTTTGATGAAAAGTAGCCTGGAGGCCAGGCACTGTGTCTCACACCTGTAATCCCAGTACTTTAGGAGGCCAAGGTGGATGGATCACCTGAGGTCAGGAGTTCTAGACAAGCCTGACCAACATGTTAAAACCCTGTCTCTATTAAAAATACAAAAATTTGCAGGGTGTGGTGGCAGGCAACTGTAATCCCAGCTAAATCACTTGAACCCGGGAGGCAGAGGTTGCAGTGAGCTAAGATCATGCCATTGCACTCCAGCCTGGGTGACAGAGCAACACTCCATCTAAAAAAAAAAAAAAAGCCTAGATTCTGGCAGCCATGAATATTAGAGGACTATTAAATGGCGTTTATAAAGAAGAGAGTTCAAGTTTTCAGTTATTTTAAGTATCCAGCTGATTTTTCTCTGCTTTGGAGAGTAGGAAAACTTAACCTAAAACTTCTCTCTTCTTCTTTGTGATATCATTTCCATTCAGAGATAAAGGAATGTTTGAGACAGGGTCTCGCTTTGTCACCCAAGCTGGAGTGCAGTGGTGCAATCACAACTCACTGCAGCCTCTACCTCCCATGCTGAAGTGATTCTCCCACCTCAGCCTTCCAAGTAGCTGCAATATCAGGCTGTGCCCCCATGCGGGCTAATTTTTGTATTTTTTATGGAGACAGCGTTTTGCCATGTTGCCCAGGCTGGTCTTGAACTCCTAAACTCAAGTGATCCTCCCACCTCAGTGTCCCAAAGTGTTGGAACTACAGGCACAAACCAATGCACCTGGCAAAGAAAATTAGTCTTAAAGAGATGTAATGACTTGCACTTTCGGTGACATGGTTACAGAACTAGTAACTGATGGGGCAGGGAATTCAAAACTTAAATCTTGCCATCTCTTCCTATGTTAGTCACTGACACAGGCTTTTAGTAATATGCTCACTGAAAGCTCCTTTATGGTACTACAATAAGTGATAAACAATAGGAGTACCTGGGATACTGTGGGGACCTAGGGAAAGAGCCAAGTGTTGCAGATCTAGCAGACCATGAACCAGGAGGGGAGGGAATTCCTGGTAAAGGATATAGCAAGTAGGAAATAAACATCTAGGGAGCAGAAGTTTGGGGTGACTGGAGACAGGATAGTTTCTTTGCAACAATGCTAATGGGTGTTTCTTAGGAATTGAAGAAAAAATAGGAGATCAACCTGTCAAAAAACTATATAAGGCCAAATGTGGTGCCTCATGCCTGTAATCCCAGCACATTGGGAGGCCGAGGCAGGCGGATTATGAGGTCAGGAGTTCAAGACCAGCCTGGCCAACATGGTGAAACCCTATCTCTACTAAAAATGCAAAAATTAGCCAGGTGTGGTGGCCAGCACCTGTAATCCCAGCTCCTTGGGAGGCAGAAAAATGTCTTGAACCTGGGAGGTGGAGGTTGAACTGAGCTGAGATCATGCCATTGCACTCCAACCTGGGGGGCAAGAGCGAGACTTTGTCTCAAAAAAAAAAACTGTATGAATATGTTTTATTATACCAGATGTAGTGCTTTTTATGTCCTCCTAACAGCAGTGAAAAAATAAAATTTAAGTGGCCTAGAATGCTCAAGTTGGTTGATCAGTGCATTGTCTGCCCTATAATGAGAGAGTACTGAAAGAATATCAAATGATTGTTTGGTAAGTACTCATTCTTTTATTCTGCAAAATATTACTATCAAGTACTTACTCTATTCCAGGAATCATGGTAGGGGCTGGGGACACAACAATCTAGTGATTTAAAAGGGGATAAAATAATTAAACAAGCTGTTATTTCATAGTGTGAGACGAGGAATAAAGGAATTTTGGTGCTTTATGAACTTCACAATCAGGTGCTTACCATAGACCTGAAGTTGAAACTTCCTAGATAAAGTGATGATGGCTGAGTGGGAACCTAAAGGAATAGGAGTGAGCCAGGCAAGAGAGAGCGGCATGTGCAAGAGCAAAGAAAGCAAAATGCATATCAAATGGCCGAGGACAGAGAGCAGGGAGGAAAGTAGCTAGTTATATAACTAGAGAACAAAGATACTATGTAGCGTTTTCTAAGCAACATCAAGGGGATTGTCTTTTTCCCAAGGGCAGTGGAAAGCCAATGAAGAATTTTAAACAAGGGAATAATCTGACCAGATTCATATTTTAGAAAAACCCTCTGATTATGGGATGGAAACTAGATTCCAAAAGATAAGAGTAGGGTGGGTGCAATGGCTCAAGCCTGTAATCCCAACACTTTGGGTGGCCCAGGCAGGAGGATCACTTGAGCCTAAAGAGTTCAAAACTGGCCCTGGCAAGATAGGGAGTCCCTATCTCTACAAAAACTAAAAATTTTTTTTTATTAGCCAGGCATGGTGGCATGTGCCTCTAATCCTAGGAATTTGGGAGACTGAGGCAGGAGGATCACTTGGGCCTCGGAGTGTGGTCCTGTGCACCTGTGGTCCCAGGTACCTGGGATGATAAGGCAGGAGGATCACCTAAGCCCCAGAGATTGAGGCTCCACTGAGCCACAGCCTGGGCAACAGAGTGAGACTGTCGCACAAAAGAAAGAGAGAGAGAAAGAAAGAGAATGAAAGAGAGGCAGGGAGGGAGGGAGAGAGGTGTTTAGGAAGCTATTACTGAAGGTCAAGGGAGGGAAATCTGAAGAGGGAAATTCTGGTCAAGTGAGAGACAATGTTGGCAGAGACCAGGATAATGGCAGGAGGGCTAGAGGAAAGTGATGTGTTTCAAACAATTCTAGAACAGATTGCCAGTTTTTTGATTCTCTGAAGAGAGGAAAAATTTGGAAGAGTACTTGGGTTTCTCCTTGGGCAGTTTGGTAAAGAGTAGCCCCATTTACCAAGAGGTGAGCTATAGGAGGCATAGCAAATTGGTGCAAGGAAGATACAGAGTTTAGCTTTTGCTTTTTTTGTTTTTTAGACAGAGTCTTACTCTGTCACACAGGCTGGAGTACAGTGGCACAATCACAGCTCACTGTAGCCTCGCTCTCCTGGGCTTAGGTGATCCTCCTGCCTTATTGTCCCAAGTACCTGGGACCACAGGTGCATACAACCACGCCCAGCTAATTTTTTTTTTTTTAGACATAATTTCACTCTTGTTGCCCAGGCTTGAGTACAATGGCATGATCTCAACTTACTGCAATCTCCACCTCCCAGATTCAAGAGATTCTCTTGCCTCAGCCTCCCGAGTAGCTGGTACAACAGGCGTGTGTCACCATGCCAGGCTCATTTTTTATATTTTTAGAAGAGATGAGGTTTCACCATGTTAGCCAGGCTGGTCTCAAACTCCTGACCTCAGGTGATCCACCCACCTCAGCCTCCCAAAGTGCTGGGATTACAGGTGAGCCACCGTGCCTGGCCCATGCCTAGCTAATTTTTAAAATTATCTGTAGGGGCC